ATGTCCTCCTTTTATATCTTAAGGGGATACCACATGCACCGCCTCTACCTACTCTTCTTTCGGGTGGGGACCCACCCTATCTTGACCGGAACTCGACCCGTGCCTTCGCCTGGAAGCTAAACCACAGCTTGCCCTTGAGCGGGGCCCAGCGCTGTCCCTCGCCTGACACGGGGGACAACCCTGTCATTCCCTCATTAATGGGTGAAGACTTGTGGTGGCCGCCGTCCGAATGACCCTCCGATGGGACGGGTCATACCTACCTCTACTCCGCCGGAAGCAGATGCGACATGGGAGCACGGTTGTCCGTCCAGTCAGACGTGACCGGCGTCAGGCCGGTCACAGACCGGTCATTCTTGACTATTGCGCGTCAGTTTAGCACGCCGCACGTCTACCCCACTGCATTAAATGCGACAGGGGGCAGTTGGGGCGCTGCGCGCATTAAAGGGGGTTCAGCCTGGGCCCCCTCCTCGCTCGCTCCCCCTGCCAAATGGCGGCTGGGCGAGGGCCTCGGGGCAAAGCGGTGCAAGGGCCCGAGGGGCATGACGTGGCACCCCGAGGCCCCGACCCCCTCGGCTGCTCCTGCGGTTCGCGGAATGCGGGGGCAGGACCAGGCTGTAGGGACACGTGGCAGGATGGGAAGGTAGATTTCCCTCATTTCGCATACCTCCGGGTCCATATCTCCGACAAACATAAACATTAATCCAGTTTGAAGGAAAACGCTATGAGATGCTAGATTGTGCAAAAAAAAAATCTAACAAGTGATTGAGGACGTGTTTAGAAAGTCTATGGGTTTGGCACCAATGACAAGGAGGCTTAATGGAATGTGTTTCTTAGATAATTCTGGTGAAATGGATGTTGATTTGGTAACTCCTCTTTAGATAGACATTTTATGTGTTGCTAACTCTTCTCTTGATCAAATATCTTGGTGGCGCACTAGTGTTTTCTGTTGCCTCTACTCTTTATGCTCATTCATGTTGGTCATTGATGAACAAACATGCGGTTATGTAAATGTTTATATTTTGTTGTTTCTTAAAATAAAATTGAGCCCCCTCTTTTAAAAAATGAAGCTATAGGAATTCATTTGGTATCTCACTTTTTAAGAGAAGTTTCATTTGCTGTAGCCTAATATATAGTGCCCAAGAATTTCTGGAAGTGACATTAACATACATAAGTAAACCTGAGCACAACTAAGGTGACATTCATGGGAGATTCCACAATTCATTTGAAACACCACAACTTGATATTTAAGTTTACAATACGTTTTAGTTAGAAATACAAACACATAAACATTGTGTTTTAACCAATTTATTCCCCGAGACCTAAAAACATTCAAATAAACATAGAGCATGAACTTGGTAACATGATGAGCTCAAGCTAGTCAAAACATGAGTACAAGTTTGAACTATATTAAGTGGGCTACGTACAAGTAACCATGAGCCACTTGTTGATAGAACAAGAAGAGGAAATTCCAAGAATCATCTAGGCCAGTGAAATCCACTTTTAGTACGTTTTCAAAAAATGGTGTTCCTTATCCCACTAATGTATGATTTTAGAGGAACACCCTAAAAATATATAAAACAAAACCAATACTCCCTACAGCTAAATATACTATGAGTACTAAAACCAATACTCCCAACGTCAAATATCCTTAACATGAGGGAGCAATTCATTGAAAATTATCTTAAGTATTACACCAAGAAGAATGTCCAATGATGGCGCTTACCAAAACATTAGACAGAAGTGTTAGTTTTGGTATATGATACGATCGATATTAATAATGCCCCCCTCTCCCAGATTGACAAATTAGTATGTATTTAATTGGTCCCTAATACACAAAACCAATAGTAAACCATGAAGTCATCAATAGGAATAACATAAGTAGGCATAAAATGAATGGAATCTCATGAAAGGCTAGGCAACACTCCAAGTGGGAACTCGTTGTCATGACATTAGCTTTTTCCTAGCATGCTTGAGCACAAAACTGCATCCTTATCTACTATCTTGGAGGAAATGTGTTCTATTCCCACGAATTGTGGTTAAGTAACCACATATATAGATAGAAGAGAGACGGGATTTGTAAACATAATAAAAAAATCATCCAACAAAACGATGTGAGTAAATTTCATAAATTGCAATTATTTGGTCAAAACTATCACTTTGCTATAACTTTAGTTGAATATTTCAAAAAAAATGGGAATAATAGAGAACTGTTTTATTTAAAAAACGCAGCATTTCCCCATATATATGTATGACACATGGGCCAAAACTTGTCAGACACATAAAGTAGAAGCTTTTCGATACAATTGTATACCACTATTCCAGTTACCTGAAATGTCATAACTGATACTTTTGACAAAATAGTAGTAGTTCTTTGAAATTTACTCAAATAATTTCGTTATCCATGAGCATTTGAACAACTTGCGATCTAAGGCAAGACCAATCCGTTTGAACTTAATGCGGTTCACGAAATATTTAGCTATAACAACAAGGTTTGTCGTCTCACCGCAAGTAGTATTTGTAGAGTATGGAGATCGTTAGAACCAGTGTGTATGCGAGATCGGATCAAGCAGACAAAGGACATGTATTTATACTAGCTCGGGTCCTCTAGATGAGTAATAACTATACTCTAGTTTATATGTATTATGTATGGGAATACCACACATATTACAAAAATTAGAGATCTCTACTATTATAAAAATTAAAGATGTTTTTACCGGTAAATTGATACGTCATCCGTATTTGAGTCGTTCTTTAAGTTTTTATTGACTTTTGGAATTACATATTCGTATTTGAGTCAGCTTTTAATTCCATTCTCTTTTGGAAACATAGTGTCGACGAGTGATACTCGCAGACCGGATGAATAGAGTGTTGGGGTACATTGGAATGAGGGTCTACGTAGTACGACATCAAGCAAACAAAAGATAAGGATTATACTGGTTCAGGCCCCTTATCAGGTCATAGCCCTAGTCCAGTTTATATGGGATTTATAATGACAAGAACATATTACAAAGAGAGTAGTCGAAATAGATCATACCAACGAGATCGTGGTCGAGGGTTTCGATGAGATCTCCCAGCGATTTGGCCCCGCGTACTCTGGCTTTGTAAACTATAGTGGGTGTGTTGGCGATTAAATTGGATGCCCTTTCACCCCTCCCCGAGGGTCCCTTTTATACCATGAATCATCTTGACCCCCAAGAAAGACCTGAGGATATTGGATCTGGTACGGTGTAACCGAAATTCTATCCCTTCCGAGTAGGATTTTGGAAATCACTTAGACTCGTAGATATATTTTCCATAATTTGGAATGGATTCCAAATGGTATACAAGGAAACGATCCGTGTACATGAAGGTACACCTTATCTGTATATTCCATAAGTCGTAGGATAGAAGGTATGACTTATCCGTAACCCTGGCACATAGAAGGAGTTGTATAAGTAATCTATTATAAAAAAAACTGCATGCTAACTTGTAAAAACAATATCCAAGTGAATTCCCACAGATTAAGATAGGCTTCACTCGTTGCAACGCACGGATATTTTTTTTAGTATCTCTACTATTATAAAAGTTGAAGATGTTTTTGCCGGTACTTTAGTACGTCATCCGTGTATGAGTCGGTTTTTAAGTTCGTTCGCATTTGGAGATACATATCCGTATTTGAGTCAGGTTTTAAGTTCGTTCGCTTTTATAAAATACAGGAGTCATAAGAAATCTCTTTTAAAAAAACTCGCATGCTAACTTGAGATGATCGGACTCGGACTCCTAATTGCAGCTCATGATTTTTTCAGAAAAATACATATCCAAGCAAATTCTCATAGTGAATTTCGTATAAAAATAATAAAAATTAAAATAGTCTTCACCCGTTGCAACGCACGGACATTTTTTTCTAGTATAAAAAAAACTGCATGCTAACTTGTAAAAACAATATCCAAGTGAATTCCCACAGATTAAGATAGGCTTCACTCGTTGCAACGCACGGATATTTTTTCTAGTATCTCTACTATTATAAAAGTTGAAGATGTTTTTGCCGGTACTTTAGTACGTCATCCGTGTATGAGTCGGTTTTTAAGTTCGTTCGCATTTGGAGATACATATCCGTATTTGAGTCAGGTTTTAAGTTCGTTCGCTTTTATAAAATACAGGAGTCATAAGAAATCTCTTTTAAAAAAACTCGCATGCTAACTTGAGATGATCGGACTCGGACTCCTAATTGCAGCTCATGATTTTTTCAGAAAAATAAATATCCAAGCAAATTCTCATAGTGAATTTCGTATAAAAATAATAAAAATTAAAATAGTCTTCACCCGTTGCAACGCACGGACATTTTTTTCTAGTAGAGATAAAAGTTTGAAACACAAGTTGGAAATTTTTAATAAGTGGATTAGAGTAGTTTGGAAGTGGAGTCTGATCCACCTCATCCTTGGAGCAAGCAGGGTTTTTTTAGAGGAACATTAAATTCCATTATACCACTGGTTCGGCTAAATCGCCGGCAACCACCTCCTCCACATCTGGAGGAAAACCATCCCAGCTGAACTGAGTCGTCTGAGAACTATTATAGCTATAGGCTGCTAAAGCATGAGCCACTTTGTTACAATTGCGTGGGCAGTAATGGAAGCTAAAAACATTAAAAGAGTTTTCACAATGCTGTAATAGGAAAGGGGTGCGTGTGACATATCATCAATCAATAACCAGCCTAACCGTACCCTTTTTCTCCTTTTTTTTAAAAATTTTTTGGTCTCCTTGTTTAATTTGCACATTGTCGTCTTGCGATTACGGCTCCACGTGAGCGCGTGTGCGATCAGGAAAACACAGTTTGCCGGTAATCTCACTGTTAATCTCGCGTTTGACTATGTCGCGTGCCTGCTCCTTCCACCGCTGGTGCCTGGTTTCACCTTGTATGCATGCCACGTGAGATCTGGTAATTTTGCAAAAACCTCCTTGCTCATGTATAAAATTTTGAACTAACCCTCGATCCACCACCACAAAGCGCACAGGAACAGGAAGGGAGGGGGGCCGCCGCCGCCGTCATACTCATATCATATCTTCTTCTTCTTCTCCAAAAAAATACTAGTGTAATGTGTGATTTGTGAGAGATGATGGAGCTGTGTAGGATTCGAACCTTCCAGAAGAGCCTACTGAGGCCCCTCCTCCTCCTCCAGCATGCCCCTTGTAGAACCCTCCAAACCCTAGGGCGGTCCCCTTCGCCCTCGGTGTTCCGGCCCCCCCGCCGCCGCCCCCCGCTCCTCCTCCTCCTCCTCCGCTCCTCCTTCGCCTCCGTCTCTCCGGGTCCGGCCCCCGGGAGCGGGACAGGCGAATGCCCCCCGCCCCCGCCCGCGCCCTTGCCGCCCGACGAGCTCGCCTCCGACGACGACGCCTACTACCACGAGCACATTCTCGAGGCCACGCAGGAGGACCAAAGTCGCCTCGTTCCAGTCAAGGCCTACTTCCCCTGCACCAGGTTACTTGTTGCTTCTCTCCTCTCCTCTCCTCTTCTTCGCCTCCATCCATGTGATTCCATTCCCTGATTCTCTCTCTCTCTCTCTCTCTCTCTCTCTGCTGCAGCATCAACCTCAAGAGCCTCCAGTCCCAGAATTCCTTCAATGTCATCCCCCCCACTTCGCGTGCTACCAACTACGTCGTCCTCAGGTACTACGATGTCAAGGGAGACCCAGAGGTTAGCCAATCGCACCATCTACTCTTTCTTTTCGCACAATTCCATGTCCGGTGCTCAACTTGGTGGAATGCTATCCCTGGAATTTGCTATAATTGAGAAAATTGTTCAGTTAATGCAATGTTCAGTTGTAATGACATATTTTCAGTTAATGCAATGTTCAGTTGTAATGCCATTATTAGTTTGTGCTTAGTTCAATGGAGACAGTCTCCACTCTGCTCTTCCTGATAACATACTCATGCTTTAGTGGTATACAACATAGCTTCACAAGCGTTCCTTTTGCTTTTATGGATTTTTTGGGCTGAATGCGGCCGGAATTTATGTTCAAGTGTCCTTGCAACTTGGTTTTTCTTTTGCCTAATGAGTTGACTGCTTCTTTTTTTGTTTTATTAAACCATGCTAGAGAAAGTACTTGCTTGCTTGTAGTAACGATGCAAGTATGATTGCACTAATGCTTCTCGCCTGCGTGTTTTCTTCAGGGTTTTAAGGCTGGCATCATAGATGAAAGTCATTGCCACTATATGGTGGTGTTCCAATATGGGTCCATTGTGCTGTTTAATGTTTCTGATCATGAAGCGGATGGATACCTGAAAATTGTTGAGAAGCATGCATCAGGCTTACTTCCAGAGATGAGAAAAGATGGTAAGCCCTTGTTCTTCTCAAGACATGCTCATTTTTTCCTGAATTGGTAGAGTGCTTCAATATTTGTCCTATTTGGCCACTGTGGTCCTTCCTTATCATGTCAATGTTGTGTTGAGGATTAATCAGAAGTTAGTACTGGAACACTGGATATTTGCTGTTTTCCTAGTCCATGTGAGATGGTGATATGATGTTGAGTAGAGCATATCCATGCTGAAAGAAGCCTCCATAGCAGTGTCGTGGAAAACGATTGATACAACTGTTAAAATGGAGTCAGCGAGCTCCCGTCCGCGAAACGGTCTTCATTAGTCGTTCCTGAACATGTAATCACCATCATTACTGATTAATCCATCATTTTTTGACTAATCGTCCGTATAATCGGGCAAGATCACACGCCCCAGCCCATGACAACTACCCACCCACAGCTCACTGTTTGATGCACAGCTATGCATTATGAACTTTAATATATGTTGAATTAATGCCACTTCATGGTGGTTCTATTTTAAACATAGTAAGAATATGTTCAATATGCATTTACATCTCAAAAAATGGCAAACTATTATCAACTATGTACTCATATTTATAAAACGTTAAATTTCCATCAAATTCCGATTAATTATCCACATAACGATTAAACGTTTGGCCGTACCCTCTCTGTCCGACATCCGTCTTCCGCAGCACTGCTCCATAGTAGGCTACACTTCAAATTTTAACTGTTTCCATTGATCAACAGCTGGCAAACAAACTTGCATAGTTGTAAGTTACAACTTTAGAGCAGTGTTTGGCTTGACTTACAATATTTGCAATGTATACATAGCTGTAACTTACAATATTTGCTTTCTTATTCACATCCTGGCTTGACTTCATTGGCTTGCTTATTACAAGGTAGCATGTGGTCAATTTGAATGAGCTAAAAATGACTAAATATCTGGATAAGGAGTTATTCACTGCTGAAATACATTTTGATTTTCCAACTAAGGAGCCAAGGAACCAAACTAACAATCTTATACCCCATGTATGCCACTTCAGCCTAGCTAGGCTGGGCAGAACCAGCTGGACATCCAATAGTCCTATAATAAAGCTATTACGTGCATATATGCATGTCCACTATTTTCTGCATCTTATAAGTGTGACTACTATTGTAGTATTCTGTTTCGTTGGAACTTTTTGGGACATAAAAATTTGAAACCTTCAACTTCAGATTATGCTGTTGTTGAGAAGCCTACCTTGGAGACATGGATGCAGGGTGGACTTGACTTCATCATACTCAGGGACCTAAGTATCGATGGGATTCGTACAATTGGAAGTGTCCTTGGTCAGAGTATTGCCCTTGACTATTATATCCGGCAAGTATGTACAAGTTCATTTCACATGTATGGTTATGAAACGTTGAAACTTGGAAATATCTATTTAGTTATCTTCATTGTCAGGTAGATGGAATGGTAGCTGAGTTCACGGATATAAATCGTGGAATGGAAAAGACTGGTACCTTCACTATGGAAAGGAAAAAGCTTTTCCAGTTGGTAGGAAAGGCTAACTCTAACCTGGCAGATGTTATTCTCAAGCTTGGGCTTTTTGAAAGGTGAGTAGAACACCATACTGAGAACTATGTATTTAATAAACCTCCTTCTTTCATTCCCCATATTAAGAGCATTTTTTTGCATGCTGTTTGGCTCTGTTGCATATTACTTAGAAATACACATATTTTGTGAATGCATTTGCCTTATCCTGCTAGACTAGAGTACTATTTATTTCATGCAATGTTCAGACATTTTTATTTGTATCCATGCAAACTGGTTTAGAATACTATTAATTTGGAATGCAAAGCTCCTAAAGCGGGATGCCAGAATCATGCGAAACACAGTATTTGTTGTCCACTGGAATTAGGTCTGTTGTTTGGTAGTCGGTGTGTGAGCTGTATTGCTTCTCTGAGGTTGTTAGCTCAGTCTTATTACTTTTTATCCCAGCACTGTCTCACATGCATTGGATCAATCTTTTGGAGTTCTGCATTTAAACTTTATCTTTGCTGCCACTATTTAGAAAGCTTTATCTGTTCTCACATACTTACTGTAGAACTTTGTCAATTCCAGGTCAGACATTGCTTGGAAGAACGCAAACTATGCTCAGATTTGGGAATACCTTCGAGATGAATATGAGTTAACCCAAAGATTTGGGAACCTTGATTTTAAGTTGAAATTTGTTGAGGTAAGGCTCATGTAATGTAGAACGTTTTATAATTCACTTGATTATTTACTTGCATTGTAAATATTTGCATTGTGTCCTTATGTTATTCACCGTACTTTTAACCTGCAGCACAACATTCGTTTTCTTCAAGAGATCCTTCAGAACAGGAAGTCTGATTTTCTGGAATGGCTTATCATAATTTTGATTAGTGTGGAGATCCTGATATCTGTTTACAACATTGTTCAGGAGCAAATGTAGCTGACTATTGTGGGAATCCTTGCTGGGGCTGAAACCTCGTCAGAACCACTGTGGCACGAACCACGAATGACACGTTCTGTCTTGTGGATTTTTCAATGGATCAAGTAAGAGCCTTGTATATGCGTAAAATGGTTCATCACATTGCATTGTCCATAACGCAATGGCTTGGTTTAGCGCTTTAATTTATGGTGCCAGGACGTTGCAGAATCTGAGAACCCACCGCTTACTAGTAGAGAAAGGGTAAAGAAAAGATTGGTAGCCGTGTTGCTGGACGATACTCCTATCTTTGGCAATGTCAGCTTTTGCGGTCGATTAAGAAAGGGGTCTGGTTTTAGGACGTTGAACCGACTACTATAGCAACTGCTAGGTGCCCATGCGTGTTTACCAAAATTGAAAATCGATCCAAATGTTTTCAATTGGCTTTAGTAGAAAATTTAGCGTACACTTCATATTTTATTGATTTTCTACAAGCTATATTAAATAACGGATAATTTTGTACTAAGACACCAAGGTTGTTTGGGTTCTCCCTTCCCTTGCGTAAGTTGTTCTGGCTGATTGAGCTGGGCTTCAGTTTTTGGCTTTGCTTTTTCTCTCTTCCCTTGGTATAAGTCGGTGTTGTGTAACAAAAATTCTTTTTCTTCTAATATATTGACGTGCAATCCTTTTGCGCGTTCGTGAAAAAGGATTGTGGGAGCTGGCGAGAAAGAGAAAGGAAAAGATTGGGGCTGGCAGGACTTTCAAAAAAAAATGAAAAAGAAAAGCCTTGACAACAATAAGATTTGACTTTTTTTTAGCAAAATACTCTCTTCGGTTCGTAAAAAAATTAAATCGAAGTCACCTGTGCTAGGTTTATTTTTTATGGGACATATGGTTTGTTTGGTAACTTGAGGGAAGACGATTTGACGAGAGAATTGACGGTGAGATTAACATGAGAATTTAATTATTTTTTTAAGTTTCAATCTCTTGTTTGGTAGAGGTGGTAGAAAACAATAAGGAGTTTAGTTTAGGCAAAATAAAGGAGGACAATTACCACCCCTTATCTATGTGTTAGAAAATTTTCCATTTCCATCCCACCGAAATTTCATGTCTCCTAACCAATCCCAACCAAACAGAATAAGTAATAGTCTAATCCCTCTAAACCCAACCCCTCCTAAAACTTTACCCAACCAAACGGATCCAGAGGGAATAGACAATGAGGGAGAGTCGACATGATAGTTGTTTGCACTTTATAGGGGGGTTTAGAGGAAAGGAAGCCACACGTTCTTTCTGGCTACTTCATTGGATTATTAGTACAATATATTGGCTCCCATCGGATGGCCTAATCAGCCAAAGAAAAAGCCAAATTTTAAATTTTCAAGCTTAATTTTGAGATTGATTTTGAAATATTTTCAACATAGTTTCTTTTTCAACATTGGCTTTTAAGTCACCAAGAACATATTTATAAAAGTTTTACCTACAAATTTATTTTTATTTCCTAATAAGCCGTTTTGGCTTATTAGGAAATAAGCCAAACGATGGGGACCATTGTTTTCTCCACGTCTCTAAAAATATGTATTCTTAAAAGAAACTTTTGTACCAAACCATGTGCTGTAAATTATATTTGATTTATCAAGTAATTATTTTAATAATAATTTGCTGAATAAAAAACTGTTTCAAACCGGGGCATATGAGTCATGGAAGAGCCTATTCTTTTTAAGTAGATTAAGGGCCTGTTTAGTTCGCAAAATGAAAATTTTTGAGTGTCACATCAGATGTTTGATCGGATGTCGGAAGGTGTTTATGGGAGAATAGCTAATTTAGTCCCTAAAGTTTCTTTGTAGAAATCAGTTTAGTCACTAACCTTTTAAATAGTCTAAAGAAATCCTTAAACTTTGTCATAAGGTCTAGAATAATACTTGGGTCCACCAAAATTATCATATGGATATACCATGTCATCATTCATGCAAAATCTATGATGAAATGTCCAATTTACCCTTGCGTATATCATAGAAAAATAAATATAAGGTTGAATTAGACATAACCATAGGAAAAAATACATCTCTTTTTTTCACCCTTTTGAGGTATATTTTTGCTCTTACATTTTTCCTTTTGTTTTTTGTTTTTCTATGATATATGTAAGGGTAAATTGGACAAATCATATATATTTTGCATAGTAAGGTGACATGGCATATCTATGTGGTGATTTTGGTGGGACCAAGGACTATATCAGCCCACATGACAAATTTAAAGGACTTGTTTGGACAATATGAAAGATTAAGGACTAAAATGACCTAGGAGCGAAACTTTAGGGACCATATTGGCTATTCTCCCTTTTTGACACGAATGAAAAATCCAATTTCATAACTTGTCTGGAAACCGCGAGACGAATCTTTTGAGCCTAATTAATCCGTCATTAGCACATGCGAATTACTGTAGCACTTATGGTTAATTATGGACTAATTAAGCTCAAAAGATTCGTCTTGCGATTTCCTTTTTAACTGTGTAATTAGTTTTTCTTTTACTCTATATTTAATGCTCCATGCATATGTCTAAAGATTTGATTTAATGTTTTTCGAAAAAACTTTTGGAGGACTAACCGGGCCTAACGTGACTTGAAGAGCTGTGACAGCGCAAATCGTGAAACGCGGATGGACCTAGCATTATGGTGATGTAGGAAGTGCCTTGCTGGCAGTGGCAGGTACCGTGCAAGTGTAATACCATAGATCCGTTGGCTTATCTGATTACATGATGATGATTACTCCCTCCGTTTCACAAATATAAGTCATTTTAGCATTTTTCACATTTATATTGATGTTATGTCTAGATTCATTAACATCAATATGAATGTGGGAAATGCTAGAATGACTTACATTGTGAAACGGATCATTAACATCAATATGAATGTGGAAAATGCTAGAATGACTTACACTGTGAAACGGAGGGAGTATACGATTATGTAATGAAAAAAGGAGTACAATACTAGTCGCCGTCTCCCCGCAAAAAAAGTACTAGTTGTCGTCAAGTAGGGGAGTAATAATAATAATAATAATAAGGGATAATATACAGGCTGTGTTTAGTTCGTGTGCCAAATTTTTTTAAAGTATACGGACAAATATTTAAATATTAAACATAGACTAATAACAAAACAAATTACAGATTCCATCTGTAAACTGCGAGACGAATCTATTAAACCTAATTAATTCGTTATTAGCAAATGTTTACTGTAGCACCACATTATCAAATCATGGCGTAATTAGCTCAAAAGATTCGTCTCGCGATTTACATGCAAACCATGCAATTGATTTTTTTTTCATCTACGTTTAGTTCTATGCATGTGTCCAAATATTCGATGTGATGAAAAAATTGGAAATTCGAGGAAAAAAATTTAAATCTAAACACGGCCACAGTATAAAAAAAATAGTAGCGTTGTTGTTTATGAAAGAGGATGGTAAAGTAAGACAAGACAACGCAAGGGCCTAAAAAAGTGGAGACGAAGAAGAAGACGGAATATATTGCATTGGAAAAGTGAGCGCTTGGACGAGAGAAAAACTCGGATTCAAGCGTCCATATCAGTGGACACCACCAATGGGAGGTGGCCACGTGGGCAGGTCCCGGGTGGAATCTGGCGCGTTCACACGGGAGGTTCCGAAATTACGGCAACGCCACTGGAGTGCGAGGCGCAGGATGTGAGATCCACGGCGGGGGCTCCGCTACTAGAAACTTCTTCTGGTCGTGGGTGGTACGCACCCTCGCGCCTCGCCTTTATATTACTAGTAAGAAGATCTCATCCCTCCTTGGTGAGGTGAGGTGAGTTGAGTTGGGGATTGATTGATTGATTCGGATTGGGAAGAAGAAGAAGCAGGGGAGCATGGGCAGCAAGTCGTACCCGACGGTGAGCGATGAGTACCTGGCGGCCGTGGGCAAGGCGAAGCGCAAGCTCCGCGGCCTCATCGCCGAGAAGAACTGCGCCCCACTCATGCTCCGCCTCGCGTAACTTTCTTCTTCTTCTTCTTCTACTGATTAATTTCCAGAAGATAGAGTAGGAGGAGTAGATGTTGAATTGCAGTGGCTGGCTGGCTGCAGGTGGCACTCTGCTGGCACCTTCGATGTGTCGTCGAGGACCGGCGGGCCCTTCGGCACCATGAAGAACCCCGGCGAGCAGTCCCACGCCGCCAACGCCGGCCTCGACATCGCCGTCAGGCTTCTCGACCCCATCAAGGACCAACTTCCCATCCTCTCCTACGCCGACTTCTACCAGGTAAGGTTCACTTCCCTCCCTTCCTCCCTTCCTTCCTCTCAACTCATCAACCTCTTAATTGGAGTCTCTCCCTCTCTATTGGCAGCTTGCTGGCGTTGTGGCCGTCGAGGTCACCGGCGGACCTGAGGTCCCCTTCCATCCGGGCAGGCAGGTCAGAATCACATTTCCCATCCCTAAACCCTCTCCCTCTCTCTCCCCCCTTCTTCTTTCTTCTTCTGGTAGATGCAAATGGTATTTTTCTTAAGTCAATTCTTTTCTTTCGTCATCTTGTACGCCGCTGTTTCCTTTCCCTGAATTCTCCACTGTCTTGTGAATGTTGATGATGTGATGTGTTTGTTTCTAGGACAAGCCTGAGCCTCCTCCTGAAGGCCGTCTTCCTGATGCCACACAAGGTATTAAGATTTCCTCTGTATTAAGTTACCCCTATGACAATGCATTTCCCAATGTGTTGGTGATTAAATTTTCTAGATCTATGACCAGCATTTGTATGTGCTACTGATGGAGTAGTTCATATTGCAAGTCCATTACCAGAATTCTTTCATGCTTAAGTAAGTTGTGTAACCTACATAAGACTAAAATTTTCCAACCCTGTTTATGCAAACCACATTACTAAAGTTTGTTTTGTGTTCCTGTTTATTCTTCTTTCTTATATGGAGCATACATGTTACCTGTGTGTTCTTTAATTAACAGTGTGCCAATTTGTGGATGCGAGATAACTAATATGTCATGGTCTTCTGGCTGTTGGTCCAGGTTCTGACCACCTAAGGCAGGTCTTTTCTGCGCAGATGGGTTTGAGTGACAAGGACATAGTTGCTCTTTCTGGTGGTCACACCCTGGTTGGTACACTTGTGCAATTGCCCTAGTGTGTTTCTCATATCTTGTAACCGGAAGGGTTATTCATGCAGCTTCACTTCATCTTCTGTAGGGAAGATGCCACAAGGAGAGATCTGGCTTTGAGGGAGCCTGGACGTCCAACCCTTTGATCTTTGACAACTCTTACTTCACGTGCGTGATCTCTGATTCTTTTTAAAGATGCATCCTGTCTGTTGATAAACAGCCAGCCACAGCTTGTTTCCTTGTATGCTAAAGAATGAAAACCAAAATCTCCTCTCGATCAACAGCGAGCTTGTGAGTGGCGAGAAGGAAGGCCTTCTTCAGCTGCCAAGTGACAAAGCCCTCATGGCTGACCCAGCCTTCCGTCCACTGGTGGAGAAATATGCTGCGGTACACCCCTTGATCCTTGCATTATTTTCTCTCGTCTTCTTTCTAAAGAGTTGTTTTTTTTAAAATAAAAGAAATAAGAGAAATGGATCATCGTTGATCTCTTAAAAAGTAGATGATTGTTGCCTGATATGTAGGATGAGGACGCCTTCTTTGCGGATTACGCCGAGGCCCACCTCAAGCTCTCTGAACTGGGGTAAGGGATGCAACTGGTGTGCTTGTCTGTGATGCGTTATTGGAGTGCTTTGTGCCAGAGTTTCACTAATTATTGTTGTGTTTGTGGGTTTCAGATTTGCTGAGGAATAAGAAGCCTTTAGAGAGCGGGATATCCGCAAAAGATTAATGCCGATTTGTATTTTGCGCCTTAGAGTCAGTACGATCAAGACTGTCGTGGCGGTTGTAATAAAAATTAGTGTGCTTTGGGCCATCTTTTTATGTGATTCCAATTGTCTTTCTCTTCATTCTTGCTTTGATGCTCTTTGTCTGGACCTCTAGACCGCCGTATTGTACTGTGGAGTTTCAAAGTTACCAAGCTATTTGCTGTCAAGATAACTATGGATTGAATTCCCCTTGATGGATGAACCAACTGTTGTTGTTTGCCCGTTCTTCAGCTTTCGTTTGTGCGGCCATCGATCGCCATGCGTTGCTTAAACCCATTTCTAGCTCCCCTACCCTGCTGCATCCGCCCTCTTCTGCGCGATCGTTGGATTGCGAGTGGTTGGCTGGTTGCACGACTTGTGGAGACCGAAACAAATAATTTTTGGTCAAATTGATCGGTGGTACTGTCGGAGCATCTATTTTTTCTTTAGCTTAGATCGTATAATTGTAGGATTGGGATTTGTATATTAATATATACAGGTCGATTAAAACAATGCAACTATTCGTGATGTCATGTGACCTAAACAAATGTGTGCCATTTATGATATTTTTCAAGAGTGGTTCTTATAGACTTCTTACTAACAAAAATTCACGACAATTGGACTGAGCCTCAAAAGTTAATAAAAAAGAATCAAGATTCAGTCACAATGTGACGTTACGTTAGTGATACACAAACTTGTCAGATGGATACAATTTATAATACAGACTTGCAAAATACTTATTATATGTTGTATGATATGTGTGGCGCAAACTAACTATATTGTGACTAATCATGAGTTTGATTATAGTATTGTCACACGCAAACACGAGGACATACGACATATCCTATGCGTAAATAACCTTTATACATACTTTGTATTTATTAATTTTGTTATTGCAATACATTATTTTAGAAAGGAATTGTTGTAACCAATTGCATAATCCTTAATGCTAATTTGGATATGATGTGAACAAAATGAGGTAATGTAAAGATAAAAATGGCTGAAAACTGGTGCATTTAACTTTTTGTCACTTTAAACAGTCATGTGGAACCAACCTACCAACCATCCATCGATGTATTGGAATTGCACATTTCAAACGAGTTGAATGTGAGCAGATGGAAACGCAACGCTGTTGCTAGCCCAGAGAAAGAAAGACGAGGAAAGGAGGAGCAGGCGGCGGCGTCCAGGGTCCAGCAGCATAGCATTGAGCTTGAGCATGGTTTCCCCTTCGCTTCGGATCCCCGCGGCCGCGCGCGTCTTCGATCCCGCCATCAACACCCGCTGCCCTCCGCCCCACGCCGTCGTCATGCGCATGCGCAGTCGCAGCCGCCGTTCCATCGCTGCCTCCGCTTCGCCGCCGGGGGACCCCTCCATCCGCGACCCCATCTCACTGCCAAGTAAGGAGCCGCCTGCCTGTGCCTCTGCCTCTTTTTCCTTACTTTTTGGTCACTCACCAAGGTCACCACCAGGGCCGCTCACCAGCGCGGATCTGATGGAGGCCAGCGGAGACGGTTTGAAGGTCGCATACCAGGTTGCCCTCTCGCCCCCTCCCCCTCCCTCCTTCAATCCAATCAACTACTCAAATAATCCCTCTTCCTCTTCCTCCTCCTGCTATTTCAGGGATGCCCGGGTGCCTACAGTGAGGCCGCCGCCAAGAAGGCGTACCCGAGTTGCCACACCGTGCCCTGCGAATACTTCGAGACCGCCTTTCAGGTTTGCTGCTATCATCATCATCCCATAATCTTACTTCTGCTTGTTTTGCAATATGTATATAGGTAATGTAGATGTCTCATGCCAATGCAACCTTTACAATATATCATTATGTGTAATATTTGTCCACAATGCACCATCTTTTTTTATAGAGTCCCTAAGCTATTGAAGAAACAGATAAAGGCACAAATTTCCATTTCCTATTTTAGATCAAGAGGCTGACGCCCAGCTTTACTGAAAAAGCTTAAGGCTGGGGATTCCAGCTTACATGACAAGCATTAGCAATTTCCATTTCCTATCCTCATTTGGAAAGTCAACCAGATTTCATCCATCAAAGTTTCAATACGATCCATGCTTCTTTCAGGCTGTCGAAAATTGGGTGGCTGACCGCGCGGTCCTGCCACTTGAGAATTCCTTGGGTGGTAGCATCCATCGAAACTATGACCTTCTACTTCGCCATAGGCTGCACATTGTTGGTGAGGTGCGCCTTGCAGTTCGCCATTGCTTGTTAGCAAATCGTGGTGTGAAGATCCAAAATTTGAGAAGTGCCATGAGCCATCCTCAAGTAAGTTTACCCCCAACAATACTAATCTATTCTCGACCCTTTGTTATTTGCTTGTCAGAATGAACCTTTAGGGTCATTTTCTTTCTTCTTAATTAATTTTGTAGGCTCTTGCACAGTGTGAACAAACACTGACAAAGTTAGGCATCGAGCATAGAGAAGCTGTTGACGATACAGCAGGTGCAGCAAAGGTAGGATGGTGTTTATATTTACCTGGTACATTGGACTATAATCACGATAAGTCAATTCAATCTATTTGGATAACGTAATTTAGTAGTTTAGAACAGCGAGGGAACCATCATGTTAAGTCTGTGGTCACTAATCAAATAATGTTGTTCCCTAGCTTATTGCAGAACAAAAGCTCCAGGACACTGGAGCAGTTGCTAGTTCATTGGCAGCTCAACTTTATGGACTGGATATTCTTGCAGAAAATATTCAGGTAGAACAATGCCATACCTAATTTGGAAGAAGTCACCTGCTCTTCCTATTCTTTCAACAGTGACTCAACTCATTGTGTAGGATGACACCGATAATGTAACACGCTTTATGATGCTGGCTCGGGAACCCATTATTCCTCGTACTGATAAGCCATTCAAGGTACCGTATGCAGAGAATATTCAAGTTTATTGTTCACCCTTTCCTTGTGAATTAAAGAAAATCTGGTCTTGTATCATATGATATCCAGACTAGCATAGTCTTTTCTTTGGAAGAAGGGCCTGGGCAACTATTTAAGGCGCTGGCAGTGTTTGCACTGAGAAAAATTAACCTCACCAAGGTGAACACTCTGCTACCATGCTTTAACAGTTCTATTTCTCACTCTTTATCATGATTGCTTTAATAGTTCATCATTTGTTCCTCTCCTTTTTTTTTGCATGGTATGCAGATGGAAAGCCGTCCACACAAGAAAAAGCCTCTACGTATAGCTGATGATAATTGTTCTGCACCATTGAAGTAATGTTTTTTTCCTGTTTAACTTCCCTTTAATAATACTCACTGTGATAAGATCCTCGCTCCCACCTATTCCTCCCTTAAATTATCATGTGGAGCAGGCATTTCGACTACCTCTTCTATGTAGATCTTGAGGCGTCAATGGCTGATCCAAATGCTCAAAATGCTCTGGCAAACTTAAAGGTATGTTCTCATGGTCTAGAAGTAACTAAGATTGCAGTGACTCAATTCTCTGTTCTTTTTTTTCATGGGCAGGAGTTCGCAACCTTTCTAAGAGTTCTTGGGAGCTATCCTACCGATGTCAGTGAAGCATGAATTGTCAAGTACCTGTTTTGAATATACTTGTGAGTAAATAAATGCTTTCACAATCAATGTTTGGCTCCAGAAGAGAATCCTTCCTTTTTCTTTTTAGTTCATAATGAGAAATATTTTGTGACCTAAATCTACAGTTTATTTCTATTCAAAATTATTCCTTCTCTTCTTGAATGAACTTTCTGAATGTCACTCTGGTCATTTTGTTCAAGTGTGAGACTTCTCATGCAAGCTGCATAAGAATTACGGTGACCCAACATTACACAGCCTTTGGTGGCATGCCGCGTTCATCGTTCCCATGAAGCTAACATTTGCTAAGTAATGAGTCATGCTACCTAGGATAGAGGAATGCCTCCCTAGAATAATTTAGAGTGGAATCTGAAGAAGAATGTTGCTTGTAATTTATTGATCTTTCTGTTAATTTTGTGTAATAAACCCAATTTCATCGAAGAACTAATGAAAAAATATGCACACACGGTCCAACACAAACTAAGTAGCAGCTTGAGTATTACACTCTGCAAGTCCTATTCAAATAATGTTAATATGCATTTTTTTATTTTATTTTGCAAATCAATGATGCTACCATTCTAATGCTTAAGTTGTTTTGCCATCCAGGGACCAGCGTTATCATGAATGAGCTTACGATTGGTTCTATCGCCAACTTGGAAGCACCGATAGCAGAAGTGGTACTAACTTGGAGGGTAACGATATGACATATTGATAGAGAGAATGGCACAAAGGTGCACGATGTTTTGTTCTTGTTTTTAAGTTCTCATTGTTGTGTTAGTGACGATTTCCTTTTGAAAGGGGCCTTTATGCAATATCCCACTTACCCAAAAGAACAGTGATGAGATATCAAAGCTAAGGCCAAAGAATTGGTTGTTTGTCATTACAGTTCGGCATTTCCTTTTTTATACTGAGATTTGTCTGTTGATTCACAGATTTTTTTACGAGTACCACATCATCGCGTATGTTGTGTTATCTCGTTGTCATTTTTTTTTAAAAAAAAATATTCTAGAGCATGAGCATTAGGCATTAGCAGTGGCTTTGAACAAGAGCCAGAAACTTATTACCATCTTAATGATGCTATCAATAGTTTCAGTGCCAAATAGCTAAGGCAGTTAGAACTTTCAGGCTTGCAGATGTTACGTATGACGTTAGTAATCGCAAAGGTTGATCATGTCCATTGGTGGAATAGGCATGTCAGCATGGCAACATATACAAGGCGTTTCGGTAGGTATTGATCAAATCATTGAAAACTTGGAGGACTCCATCACTGTTCTCTGTTCTTATCCTGGTTCCTGGTGCTCTTACCATCTTCAACGTTAAATTCACATGTCCAGATAACCCGAACACACCTACCAATCCAATGCAACAGGTCCTTTTGAAGTCGGATCTAGAACAACTTACTGCAATGAACACAGATGCTTTCATGCTCAGATATACAGTAAGCGAACAAGGTTAACCAGAAGAGATAAAATTGGAAACAATAGCGTATCAACATCACAACGCATTCACCTTTGAAGCTGGATGACGCTGATACAGCTGTTCAAATAGCCTTGCTGACACTGGCTAAACAGCTGAAGGAGAAAACATGGTTTGAGAACTTCTCACTTACACAAGCATAGCTTTAATTTAATGGTCATGAGAGACTCCGCAGCTAGCTTTCAGCATTGCATGATAAATTTCTGACTGCTGAAATTATAACTACTGAAAACAAATGTTGATACTGCATCCTGCAAGCTAGGATAATGTGAGACAGGATCTAAAGACGGAAATATTAGCTCAGAGAACATAGCATAAAGATCCACAGCTGTGCAATGATTTCTAGGCAATACAAAAAAGGATAAATCGCTAAGATAACAAGGAGAGGGATCGCGCCGAGATCATCTACCATCTAAATAATTTAATAATATAAACTACCTCTGAACTCAAGTACACAACCAGTCCTCGGAATGCATTTAACCAGATAAAACCTAAAAAATTGCTCACTCGACCAGCGAACAAGTCGTCCGGCCTGGCCAGTGGGCATTCCTAGCTCTAAGTCAGTAACGCGAACATCTTATGATCCCTTAGCTCCAGTCTTCATTACGCATTTCCCTGAATTTAGAACATGCAAAGTTGATGCAAGGCAAAATATGTTAGCATGTGCAAATGAACAATGAACATGGTTGGGATAAATGATCAGGGTTCTATTTACCTCCAAATGGCGACATATCCAGTTTAGCCTGCACCATCTAAGGAACTTGAGGAACCATTGGCAGGTATTTGAGATCATACCTGAGAAGGGCTGGACCAAATGCATTATACTTTCCCGAACTGCTATATGCCTGTTCAGCATCAGCACTCTTAGAAAACACTACTCTTGCGATCTTTGATTTCTTGTTGATTTCAGTCGCACCCTCCATGATTGGCCCGTGCATACGGAATATACTATTGATGTCATCCACAGAAGGGATGGCTTCTGCATTACTAAAATGTAAGATCAGAGCTGCCGGTCCATCTGCCTGTTTCACAGCAGGTGAATCAGCAGAGGCCTCATCTTGAGGTGCAACCTCCTGCTTCATCTTCTTATTAAAACTCCTGTTCTGAGACAGCCGCTTCATTTTGCGGCCCTCATAGTCACTTGATGTGTCTCCATCATCAAAATCACTGATTATAATATCACACCAATATGAGTCTTCTGCCTTTCTTGCTGAGTAGATACTCCCTGCTGACTTCCTCCGACCCCTATGGCCATCCGCCACCTCTAAGTCACCTTCTTCTTTTGCAGCTGGGTACAAGCTTCTGGCCGTATTTTTTCTACCTTTCTTGCCACCCAATGTCTGCAGCAGCTCCTTGTCGTCGTATGTGGCCGGCACTTCTGAGTCCTTGTATTTTGAGAAGAAGCTAAGAATGACAGGCACAGAGTCATAGCCCTTGAAGTTGAATGGATCAGCAGCAACGGATGTAAGCTGTAGAAACATGTCAGCGGCTGGTGGATATTGATACTCCACTGTTTCTTGGATCACCTCGTCCTCGTCCTTGAGGTGTGCAGGCCTCCCAGCATTGTTTTTCCTAGGCCTCCCGCGTGGCCTCCCGCGTGGTGCACCGCTGCCCCTGCCGCCCTTGGAGACCCTCTTGCGGTCGAAATCGACTTCGGAATCGGAGTCAGTGGCACCCTTCTTGCGTGGGTCCCAATCCTCATCGGAGTCATCGAGGATTTCCTCCTCCACCTCCTTCCTCTTCCTCCCCCTCCTCCTGGATGGGGGGTAGGAGTTGCAGTTGTTGGGAGTGGCTGCGGCGGCGGAGACATTGGGTAGGCCGAGGTGGAGGGTGTACTCGGGAGGGTCGGGTAGGCCCCTGAACTTGTCGAAGGCTCTGAGATGCGCCTTAGCGACGGCGGCGTGGACACGGTTGGAGAAGCCCATGCGGTGGGCGGCCAAATCGTGCAGCAGGGCGATGAAATCGCGGGGGAGGAAGGGGCGGGCGATGCGGCCGGGAGCGGTGAGGGCAAGCTCAACGCGGCGCTCGAACTCGAGGAGGGAGGCATCGAGGGCGGCGTCGAAGTCGTCGGCCTCGCCATCGTAGAGCTCGGCGACGGGGAAGTAGGGCTCGTAGGGCCTGAGCTGGGCGGCGTCGCACCAGGCGAGGGCCTTGTCGCCGAAGAAGGAGACGAGGAGCTGGGCGCCGGTGGGGGCGGCGGAGATGACCTCGCCGGGCCAGGCCGGGTGGGAGAGCTTCTTGCCCCAGACCAGGTCGCCGGGGGCGAAGGGGCATGCACCTGCTCCTGCTCCTGCCCCTGCTCCTGCTCCTGATGGAGGATGAGGATTCGGATCCGTAGCCGGTGGCGGTGGCGGTGGGGGATTCTTCCTGGGGCGGCCGCGGCCACGCTTGGGCGGCGCTAGGGTTTGGGGGTCAGCGGCGGAGTTGAGGTCGAAGGGTGTGGACATGGTGAGCGCAAGCTAGGGTTTGGATTGGTGGATGGGAAAAGTGGGGATCGATCGATCGATCGGAGCGGAATGGATTCTTTGGTAAGGGCTTGAGACTTGAGAGGCTTTGGGCGGAGGAATGGAATGGATGATCCAATCCACCCTCCTCTTCTCTTCTCTAGTAGCCTCCTCTCCTCTCCTCTCTCCTGTGAGTGACTACTCTCTACTGGTGTACTGAGGAGGAGGATGAGGGTTTGTCAGTGATGCTGTGCCTCACTGCTACTGTTATTATTTACTACTACTGTAGCACGGCAAAGTTAAATCAGGGGTAAACATCAATGCTCACTATCTCATCTCATCTACGAAAAACAACCTCTCTTCCAATCTTCCAATACTCCCGTTCGAAACCATGACAAAGAGTGGATAAACTTTTTGGATTTTTATGGCACGTTTTTTGAAACTACTAAACGGTGTGTTTCGTGTGAAAACCTTTTACGGTGTGTTTCGTGTGAAAACCTTTTATATGAAAGTTATTCTAAAATATCATATTAATCTATTTTTTAAGTTTATAATAATTAAAACTCAATTAATCACACGTTATTATCACCTCATTTGCGTGAAATGTTGAAAATTTAGTTATAATTCGGTATATTTTAATCCAAAATAACAAGATAATAAACATGATATTTACAATAGGATTTGATCCAGTGATAGTGGTGAATGTAATCAACATTAGCATGCTTAACGTAGAATAAGCATCAACAACCACATAATAACGCAATGTTGATATTACGATGAACATTAACAGTAAAACTTCTAATTAAAATAATATAAGAAGGTTATACCCCAAGAATAGTCCTCCGTTGGAGTTTGAGGCGGTATTGCCTCCGTTGGTGTTGACGGGAACCTCCTTCTCCTTGTCTCTAGTGTTGCCGTTGTCATGTTGCCGCTGTCTCCAATGTTCGACATGTTAGTGAAGACGAAGTAGACATTGACGAACGCAGTGAGTAGTCACGCCTTGCGCTCTCCAAAAACCTGATCGCCCGTCCGTCCGTGCAAACGTCGCAACAGTGCGTGGTTTCAGAGGCATACTCTCCCAAACGTCGCAGCAGTGCGTGGTTTCGGAGGCATACTCTCCCAACGCGTGTGCACACACTCGTCAGGATGGGATTACCGTAGCAGCAACAGCCTTGGAAATGGATGAAAGTGTGTCTCCCTTCTTCTTAGGGAGATCAAATCCATTCTCATTTTATAGGAGGAATGGAAGATGAAGAGTAAGAGTCATGGAATAGGAAGAGGAATAGAGTAACTAATTCTCATCAATTAGCCATCAACCATCCTCCACTACACAACCATCAACCAACCATCAATTAGAAGTAATTGATGTAGGTTACCAATGGAATAGAAAGAGAAATAGAGCAACTAATTGTTATCAACTAGCCATGTGAAAGTGCATCTAGGCCCCTAATGATTTTGGTGATTAATTACAATGCGATTAGAGAGGACTAACATTTTTATTCAAGTAAATGTGAAGGTTGTTATGTCCTTAATGAGTTAAAGTAATGCATATCCCGCCAAATGCGTTGACATGATGTGATGCGGCAAATGAGCAAATGGTATATTGTACTTTTTATTTTCCTTGAGTTAATAGGAAAGCCGCAATATTAAGAGGGATGATGCATTGACATATGAGGAGTGATCAAAGTGCTCAAAATCAATTTTTAAAAGTGTTTCTCCTCAGTTTGATGTGTTCTGGAATTTTTCGGAGTTTTTCGAAATTCATTTTCGGACTTTCCGAAAATACACAGAACCACTTTTCGCTTCTGGAAATTTTCGGATATGTCTGAAAGGCATTTTCAGACTTTCCGAAAATGACTAAGAAGGCAAACATGGTTCTGTATATTTTCGGACTTGTCCGAAACTGATTTTCGGATTTTCCGAAAAACATCAGTAGAGTCTCTTTCGCTTCTGTAAATTTTCAGAGTTTTCCGAAAGGAATTTTCGGACTTTCCGAAAATGTCCAGAAGGGTGTTTTTGGTTCTGGAAATTTTCGGACTTGTCCGAAAAGTTTTCAGAATGTCCGAAAAATCTTCAGTTGACTTTACTGTCGGTGCCGAGCTGGAATTTTCGGACTTGTCCGAAAATCTTTCGGAATATCCGAAAATCCCATTTATTGTGCACAACGGGCAGAATTTGGGTTGTGGCTATAAATAGCCCCATCCCCTCACTTGTGAGGGCTGCTGGTCACATTGGATATTCTTGTGCCCTTGGCTTGCTCTTGTTGAGATTCACTTTTGAGCCTTGCTTTCTTGTTTCCCCTCTCACCCGTGTTCGATTCGGATTTGGTGTGTGTGTGAGAGTTGTGGATTCGAGTTTGTGTGAGTACTTGTTGTTGACTTCGTAAAGATTTGTGAGCACTTGCATCATCTCCGGGAGTTCATTGCATCATTTGTTACTCTTGGAGGTTGAGGACTCCTAGGCGGCTAGGTGTTGCTCCCGAGCCACCGATCTACTTGTGGTTGGCCGGGAGAAGTTTGTGAAGGTCGGGTCTCACCTCCGAAAGGGAAGAGATACTCTTAGTGGAAGGAGGAGTGCTTAGTGCAACCTCTTGAGGAAAGGGTCAGCTAAGACCCGGCTCTTAGTGAGCTCCTCAACGGAGAGTAGAATTCCCTCAAGGATTCGAACTTCGGGAACAACTTCGTGAGCTTCATCTTTGGTGACTTCACATCCTCCCTCTCCTTTAGCTTTGCTTGTTTGAGCCGCTATAGGTCTAGTTGCTGTTTGTGCTAGTATATTCTTGTTGTAGGCAACTAGATCTAGGTTTTACCTTGTGTTTGTGCTGACTCCGATAAATTTTCGGATATATCTAAAAATTTTGGAAATATCCGAAAATTACTGCTTCCGCTTTTAATTGAATTCTTGAATTAGCCTATTCACCCCCCTCTAGGCCTAATTGACACTTTCACCATCAACCATCCTCCACTACATAACCATCAACCATCCATCAATTAGGAGTAATTGATATAAGTTACCAATTCCCTAATCAAATGGATTAATTCTCAAAACTCTTCATCCCATTGATATCCCATAAGAGAATGAATACACATGAATTCCTAGCATAATGAGCCTTGGAATTTATTTGATTTAAATGGATCAATTACCCAATTAAATCTAACATGAAACACTTAATCTTCATCTTCAAGAGATTCAAACACCACCTTAGGGCCTGCTTAGTTCTCAAACAAAATTTTTCGCGTTGTCGCATCTAATGTTTGGACACATGCATGGAGTATTAAATGTAAAAAAAACAAACCAATTATACACTTCGCTAGGATTAATTAGGCTAATTGCGCCATGATTTGACAATATGGTGCTACAGTAAACATTTGCTAATAACGGATTAATTAGGCTTGATAAGTTCGTCTCGCAATTTCCTGGTGGAATCTGTAATTTATTTTGTTATTAGACTACGTTTAATACTTCAAATGTGTGTCCGTATATTCAATGTGACATGCAGAGGCAATTTTTTTTTTGCCAACTAAATAGGCTCTTAGGCCTTGTTTAATTCGCGAGACGAAAAGTTTCGACATATCACATCGGATATACGGACACATATTTGAAGTATTAAACATACACTAACAAAATAAAATACAGATTTCGCTTGTAAACTGCGAGACGAATTTATTAAGTCTAATTAATTCGTCATTAGCAAATGTTTATTGTAGCACCACATTATCAAATAATGGAGCAATTAGGCTTAAAAGATTTGTCTCGCAATTTCAACACAATCTGTGTAATTAGTTTTTTTTCTTATATTTAATACTCCATGCATATGTCCAAACATTTGATGTGATAGGGTGAAAAGTTTTTTGTTTGGTAACTAAGCAGGGCCTTAAATTCATACTTCTCCATAAAAATATTAACCAAAACTGATTTGGATTATATATTCACCTTTACATCTGCTCTTAAGTTTTTCTTGTTTTTAGTCCTTGTGTTTTCACAGGTGTTGCCTTTCAGAGGCATTTCTATTAAATGTTACTTTAATCAAAACATACGTAGCTCTCAACAAAGTTATGTATACCTCACCGTTATATCTAGAAAACATATTCTGCCTACATAAGCTTTCGGTGCAAAATATCTCAATTTTTTTTGTTAAAAAAATATACACGTACTTCCAATGTTACAACACATATGTGCAAAGTACTATCTTTAAATTAATTATGTTTTAGCCGTACAAAGAAATACAAAATACAAACAATTTTAAGAGTTATTTTTTTTGGTTATGCAGGTGCATTACTAAGAGCAGGTACAATAGCAGCCTATAAGCCAGCTATAAACATATTTTAAAGAGATAAAGAAAGAGAGAGAAGAGCAGCGGGCTACATATTTGTAGCTAACTACAACACGGACTCCAAGACGTAATGTATGTATGACAGATAGGACCAGATATTAATAGTATAGCAAGCAACTATTGTATGAATTGACTATTACAGCTATAGATGATTTAGAGCTAACAATGGGCTATACTATTAAATTTGCTCTAACAATAGATTTGTTGACACAAACTCCCTTTATAAGCACGACACGGTACGACATACGTATGGGTTAACATTTTGATTGGTGGCAGCTGCTGCAGGGCCCAATTCGAACACAAGTCCCACGGCCTGTGGTAACCCAGCCCACTCCACCACAAGACCAATAATCGATTATTTATTACTCCCTTCATATTTTAATGTATGACGCCGTTGACTTTTTATTCAACGTTTGACCATTCGTCTTATTCAAAAAATTTATATAACTATCATTTATTTTATTGTGACTTGATTTATTATCAAATATTCTTTAAGCATGACATAAATATTCTCATATTTGCACAAAAATTTGAATAAAATAAATGGTCAAACGTTTGTCAAAAAAATCAACGGCGCCATACAAACTAGGCTTCCATCCAATGGCAATGGGGGTTCGATCAAGCACGACAAAGCAAAAGGAATCGAACGATTAATAGCTACTCCTACTAAACAGTACTACTCACCACCCTCTTCCCTTCATTGCTGTTGATGTTGTTTGGTCTTTTTTTTTTGTTAATTTGTTTATTAAAGGAAAACCCGCACCCTCACTCTCAGTCTAGCTCCCTGCTGCTTCCACAGCTACTTAATTGTAGGATGTAGGATGGTGCGTGCTAGCTGCAGCTCACTACTACAACTGTACTAGCTAGCAGATCGCAGCTAGTAGCAGAGAGGAGAGGAGAGGAGTTGATCTGAGGTAGGATAGGAGAGCAGCAGATCAGATCAGATCGATCCGGGCAGGCGGGCAGCATGGCGTCGGCAGGTGGCTGCAAGAAGAAGACGGGAAATAGTCGTAGTAGGAGCCCTCGTAGCCCGGTGGTGCTGCGGAGGGCGATGCTGCATTCGTCCCTCTGCTTCCTGGTCGGCCTCCTTGCCGGCCTCGCCGCCCCCTCCGACTGGCCCGCTGCCGCCGGCGCCGCCGTCTTCCTCCGCACGCTCCGTGCCAGCAATGTCATCTTCAGTCGCAGTAGCAATAGGCCGCAGCAGCCGCAGCTGGTGGTAGTGGTCACCACCACCGAGCAGTCCGACGACTCCGAGCGGCGCGCCGCCGGGCTGACGCGCACGGCGCACGCGCTGCGGCTGGTGTCGCCGCCGCTTCTCTGGCTGGTGGTGGAGGAGGCCCCCGCGGAGAAGCACGCGGCGCCGCCCACGGCGCGGCTGCTGCGGCGCACGGGGGTGGTGCACCGCCACCTCCTCATGAAACAAGGAGATGATGATTTTAGCATGCAGATATCGATGAGGAGGGAGCAGCAGAGGAACGTGGCTCTGCGCCACATCGAGGACCACCGCATCGCCGGCGTCGTGCTCTTCGGGGGCCTCGCCGACATCTACGACCTCCGCCTCCTCCACCACCTCAGGGACATCAGGTACAGCATCACAATACATACCTACGTATATGCGTACACTACATCCTTATTAGAGTCTTAGAAAAAAATACTCGTACGTTGTAACATGTTATGGTTTAGTTAAGATGAAATTCACTATGTGAATTCACTTGAATCTATATATTTCTAGAAAATCATGAGCTACAGTTAAAAGTCCGACGAGTCCGCTCATCACAATTTAGTATGCGAGTTTTTTTTAAAGAGATTCTTTTATACGATTCTTCCTGTATTACTAAAAAGCGAACAAACTTAAAAAAAAAACCAGATATGTATTTCCAAAAACGAACGAACTTGGAAACTGACTCTACACGAATGACGTGCCAAAGTACCGGTAAAAATATTTTCAATTTTTATAATATAGGCTGTGTTCCCTTCAAAACTTCCAAAAATTCCGTCAAATCAACTATTTGTACACATGCATGGAGCATTAAATGTGGATAAAAAAAACCAATTGCACATTTTGCATGTAAATTACGAGACGAATCTTTTGAGCCTAATTACGCCATGATTTGACAATGTGATGCTATAGTAAACATTTGCTAATGACGGATTAATTAGGTTTAATAAATTCGTCTCGCGGTTTATAGGCGGAATCTGTAATTTATTTTGTTATTAGTCTATATTTAATACTTCAAATGTGTATCTGTCTACTTAAAAAAAAATTGGTACACCAACTAAACACCTCTATAGTAGAGGTAAAGATATTTTAGTCAACACTCAACTACATTCCGCTATATATAGGCCTGGGTTAGTTACTAATTTTCTTTTTAAACTTTTAATTTTAATGTAGAACTAAACAAAGCCATACTACTCCAGTATGTTTTTAATTACTAGTAGTGAGCTAGCTAGCTAGAGACAAACAATGTACACATAACATGGAGGCCTCCCGGAGTGATAGTTTTTGTACGTAAGCAGGTACTCCCTCCGTCCCAAAATAAGCATAGCCATGAATTTTCGTGTCTAATTTTAATTGTCCATTTTATTTAATTTTTTTAAAAAACTAAAAAAAATATAAGTCACACATAAAGTACTATTCGTGCTTTATAATCTAATAACAAACAAAATACTAATCATAAAAAAATAAATAAAATAGATGATCAAAATTGAACACAGAAACTCGTAACTATGTTTGTTTTTGAACGGAGGGAGTACTACGAAGCTAGGGTGTCGGTGGATGGAAGGGCCCTCCCTACTACTACAATAGCTACTCCTTAGGATTCAAAATTATATATGTGTCATCCTATTCACATTTTTCTCTCCAATCACTCTTTGAAATTTCTCCCCATTTTACTCTATAGTGCACCCTCCATCCCTAAAAAAATAAAATTAGAGATAAACCTGGATAAATTCATTCTCAAAAGGTACTACCTCCGTCCCATATTACTTGTCGCTTTGACTTTTTCCTTATAACGTTTGACCATTCGTTTTATTTGAAAAATTTATACAAATATAAAAAGGGATAAGTCATACTTAAAATACTTTTGATAATAAAGCAAATCACAAATAAAATAAACAATAATTTCAAATTTTTTTAATAAAACGAATGATCAAACATTACAAATAAAAAAAGGTAGTATCTTTTTAAGACGGGGAGAGTACTCTATAATTTATTATTATGTAGGAGTACTTACTACTAATTTAAAGTTGAGCGTGAAAAATGATTGCTGAAATTAAAATGAGAGGGATGTCGTAGCAGTAGCGCGTTAATTATTGTATATGGCCGTACAGTGCAGTATAGTACAGGATGTGTCGGCAAGAATGAATGATTTGATGGGGCTGGCATATGTAAATGCAGGACATTTGGTGCGTGGCCCGTGGCGACAGTGTCGGCGTACGAGCGAAAGGTGATGGTGCAAGGCCCACTCTGCATCAACACATCCTCCTCGTCGGTGATCACCCGCGGCTGGTTCGATATGGACATGGACATGGCGGCCGGCGGCGAGCGGCGAGCGGCCGCTGACCGGCCGCCTCCGGAGACGTTAATGGAAGTGGGCGGGTTCGCGTTCAGCAGCTGGATGCTGTGGGACCCGCACAGGTGGGACCGCTTCCCCCTCTCCGACCCCGACGCCTCGCAGGTCAGCCACTGCCCAGTGCCCGGAAAGAGATCCCTGACTTTGTGCAGTTTGCAGTTATGCCACTGGTGACACCAGTGGCATAACACCAGTGGCATAACTGCAAACCAGTGGCATAACTGCAAACTGCACAAAGTCAGGGGATCCTCATTCCCAGTGCCCACCCATCATCGCTACCTCTCACTCGATCTACTCCTGCCACGTAGTAGTAATTAATTAGCCTAACCACGTCGTCCACCCCACCTTCAGGCGGACCGGAGTATTATATCACGATTCTCAATTTCTTACTTATTAGTCATTCCATATTTTAACGTATAACGTCGTTGACTTTTAAGTAAAGTTTGATCATTCGTCTTATTTAAAAGGAAAAAGTACGTTTTACCCTCTGAACTATTGTGACAGTACGAATTACCCTCCCGAACCATAAAATCAGATATATTACACCTCAAACTATTGATACCGGATGAATTACCCCCCCGACTCAATACTGAGCGGTTTTGCTCCTACGTGGCATAGACATGGCGTCGATGTGGAAATCCAATCAGCAAAAAAAACACACACACACACACACACACAAGGGCCCACATGTCATTATCTCTCTTCAGTCTTCCCCCTCCCCCTTCTCTCTCTCAGGCGTGCGTCAACGGGCAATGCGCGACGGCAGCGGCACGCGGACGGGCGGCGAGCGCGGCAAGGAGTGGTGGGGCCGAGACAGGCGGCGGGCGGGTCGGGGGCGCAGCGGACGTGGTGGAGAGGTGGCCGGCAGGCGTGACGGCGCCTGTGCCCTCCTGTCGCGGCGGCAGCGGCGCGCGGACAGGCGGCGAGCGGGGGCCGCGGGCGCGGCGGGTGGCGCGGCAGGGAGTGGTGGGGCCGGGGCAGGCAGCGGGCGTGGTGGAGAGGCGGCCGGCGGGCCTGACGGCGCCCGTGCCCCCTATCGCAGCGGAGGGCGGCGAAGTGGCGAGGGCGGCGAAGTGCCCTCCTCTCATACCTCTCTCTCGGGCCGTCGGGAGGTCGGTGCGCACGCCTGAGCTTGCCGTCGTCATCTTCAATGTCCTCGGGACCTTGGCGCCCGTGCCCGTCTCGCCCTCCCCACCGCGCCCACCGGAGCTCGAGGCGGCAGGAGGAGGGGACAGCGAAGGGGAGCCTGGGCTCATCGTACTCCAGCAGGAGCGGCTCGAACGACGACGGCGGCGGCTGGGGGATGACTCCGACGACTCTTCCGGCCTCCACGCTCCCTCGCCGGTCTCCTCACCTCCTTCCTCTCTGCCCGCCCCGCTAATGCCGGCATGCTTCGGCCGCCGCCGCTCCGCCCGCGTTGCCACCGCTGCTTCGCCCCGCCGCTCTGCCGCCGGCGCGCGAGTCGCAGCCGCTAGCATCTAACGGGAGAGAGAGAGGGGGTGAGAGGGAAAGAGAGAGAGAATATTATGTCATGACAGGTGGGCCCTATCCTTTATTTAATGAAAAACTTGCTGACTGGACTGCCACGTAGACCAAAACCGCTTACAAAACTGTTGGGGGGGTTTCATCCGGTATCGATAGTTGAGGGTGAAAAATGACTGGTTTTCAGGTTTAGGGGGTAATTCATACTCACCCAATACTTCAGGGGGTAATTCGTACTTTTCCTATTTAAAATTATTGTGTAAATATAAAAATATTTATGTCATTCTGATAAAACATTTGATGATAACTCAAGTCATAATAAAAAAAATAATAATTATCCAAATTTTTTAAATAAAACGAATGATCAAATGTTGGTTAAAAAGTCAACAACATTATATATTAAAATACGGGGAAGGGAGTACTTTCTTGTCATGTCCTGGGGCTGGTCCTAGCTATAGATAGATCAGTAGTACTACCTCGTTTCAGATTATAAGACTTTCTAGCATTTGTCCATATGTATATAGATGTTGATTAATCTAGTCACACACACACACACACACATATATATATATATATATATATATATATATATAGTGTGTGTGTGAGTAAAGTCGAAACGAAGGAAGTAGCTAGCTAACTGAAAAGAGATTAAAAGTCGGAAGAATATAATGCGCAATTCACGTACGCACACGACACTAGACACGCACAAGCTCCGCGTCTGTCTGCTTTCTTTTTGGTTTGTTTGTTTGCTTGCTTGCTTAATTTCATCAATCATTTCCATATATTATTCCAGCCTCACTAGCTAGAAGCCTTTCAGCGTGTAGTAGTAGTACATGTACTATAATTACCGTACAGTTTGGATCCCAATCTGCAGATTCATCATTACATAAGTACACAGTAACTATTGACAATTACGAAGTAGGAGTACGTACTAGTAATTGAGATTATATATATATATATATATATATATATATATATATATATATATATATATATATATATATATATATATATATATATGCGCTTAATAATATGTGTATACATATATATGCAGGAATCAGTGAAGTTCGTGCAGCGGGTGGCGGTGGAGGAATACAACCAGTCGACGACGAGGGGGATGCCGGACTCCGATTGCTCCCAAATCATGCTCTGGCGCATCCAAACTACGCTCTAGGCTCTAGCTAGCTTAATTTCATTCTTCTTCCTTAATCATCGATCGTCAATCTCCAAAACCCACACTCCTACTCCTATCTAAGACAAATACCTGCATATAAATATATACACACGTATACGTGGTGTGTTCACGTACGGTTAATTAAGCTGCAAGGAAGTACTCCGCAATACTACATGCATATATGTTTTCACCTTACTTACGTCGAGTCTTTGTGATTCTCGGTCTCTTTTTAAGTAAGAGTGACAATATATTCACGAGGAAAATACATCAGTGATATACCACAACCTGTGTGGAGGGTGAAATTTTTAGTCACTCGCTTTGTAAGTTGATCAACCCAGCTTAAGATTCTGATAAGCAGCTGCTGAGAAACTAGCTGGTGACTTCTAAGTTCATTTTCTAGATTCTACAACTACAGACTCTCAGAATCTGGATAAAAAACTAGACTGTTTGGAGGAGCTTCTGGCAACTGGAGATTCTAAGAGAAACTGAAGGTGTTAGAAGCTCCCCAAACAGATTCATAGGCTAAATCTTGTCCAACAGATGTCATTTCTGCTGGTTTTCTCTTATAGCATGGACACACACGATGTATAAATAAATCAACAGCGGAGGCAGGTACCAAATCATGACAGTTGATTGTGCTAGATTCAATGGTTCAATAATGTAGGTACCAGACAACGCCATCTAATCTGGGAGATGGTACCGGCTCGAGGAACGGAATTGCTAGAAAACTTTCGCAAGTTTTTCTTTTTTGCCCCTAAAACTTTTGAGATTTGTGCATTAACGTAAAAAAAAAGATAATCTCCAAGAAATTCTATTGACAAGTGTCCAAATCTCAGAAATGGCATCGATAAGTGTGAGTTTTAAGAAATGCCATCGTACAAACGACTTTGTCCTAAAAATGCCATCGTCGTTAGGGTTATGTCCATTCCACGCCATTAAATTCTATAGGATGAACAGTGTATTTAATGGTGTAAAGTGGACGGCGATGGCATTTTTGGGACAAAATCGTTTGTACGATGGAATTTCTTAGAACTCACACTTGTCGATGGTATTTCTTGGATTTGGACGCTTGTCAATGGCATTTCTTGAATTATCTCTAAAAAAATCGCTAGAAAGAAATTTTCACGCATGCCACGCGTAAGATCCCTATGCTAACCAACCAAATCATAGTTGAATACAAGTTTTATATAAATTACATCGTAGTTATAATACAATTACACTTCAATTATGTGATGTCGCATGCGTGACGGAGAGGAGATATTTCAGCGTCTCGCGTGAAACATTGAGGTCGCGCACCTCTGCTTCACTTCATTACCTATCATGCCTATGTTAAATGAATGGTTGTATTTAATTTGGTACCTGGTGGTACCGTACCAGTATATTGTATTATCGTAGGCGCATGATGTTATGGTCCGCCTGTAATTTAGTATGTGTTTGGTTGCAGAGATTTGCTGGGTCGGGTTAGGTCGAATCCGCTTTTATAGATGTATAATTGTGGGGTTAGATGGGACGGGTTGACTCCAAAAGAGAATATCCTCCTGATATTTGGGTTCGACTCCCCCATCATTAGTATATAAAAAACCATCATAGGTGTCAGTTCCCAACCGGCTATATGTGCCGGTTTTCCTACCGGCACCTATTGATCGACACCAATACAAGCAACCGGCACCTATACCAAAAATAGAACCGGCACCTATAGGTTTGTACGAGCAAAAAAAAAGAGCCGGCTCGAATCGAGCCGGAACTCGCAATCGCAATCACTGCGCCATGCCCCACATCTAGTTTTTTGAAATCCCCACATCACAGATCATCCACCAATCACAGATCAAAACATATTCAACAAGAAAAGCATCCACAAATCAAAAAACATCTTAAAAGAATCTACAAAATCATCCCAAAAAAATTCCTCAGGCGCCGCCGCCCGCCGCCTCCCCTCCCACCGGATTTGACGGAGGGGAGTGTGCGGCGGCCGCCGTTGCTGTCTCCGAGGTCCGCCGTCTCCTCTTCGGTCGGATCGAGCGGAGGGGACAGCGCCGCGGCAGCCGCCGCCGGCCGTTCCCAAAGGTCCACCACCTCCCCTCCGGCTGGATCCGGTGGAGGGGAGGGCGCGGCCGCCGCCAGCCGCTGCTGCCGCCTCCGCCTGGCCACCGCCGAAGCCCGCCGACTCCCAACTGCCTCCCTCCACAGGCTCCCCTCCACGCCGCCGCCTCTGTCTGTGGGGTGCCCGCCGCCTCCCCACCTGTCGGATCTGGCGGAGAGGAGGGCACGGCCGCCGCCGCCTCTGCCGCGTCCACTAGGCCGGTTGCCAGCCGCGGGGGCTTGCCGTCTTCGCCATGCAGCCACTGCCGAGAGAGAGAGAGAGAGAGTGGTGGGAGAGAGACGCGAGAGCTGAGAGACGAGAGAAAGGTAGTAGATGGATAAGGCGGAGAGACGAGAGAAAGGTAGTAGATGGATAAGGCGGAGAAACGATTTGATAAGGACGCGTGGTGGTGTGGTGCTTATGGGCTCGGCTCGCCGGCTTGGCTCAAAGCTATAGGTGCCGGTTTTTTAAAAAAACCGGTACCTACAATATATGATAGGTGCTGGTTTTTTTAAAAAAACTGACACCTATAGTATAAGTGCCGGGTTTTTTTCTAGAACCAGCATCTATATATATTGTTTAAAGGTGCCGGTTCTATTTTTTCCATCGTAGGGAGGTGGGAAAAGCTCTATAGGTGTAGGTTTTAAATGAACCGACACCTATGAGCCGTTCTCTATGACGGTTTTTTAGTAGTGCATGAAAATTTGGCGGACCGATTCGACCCAACACTCTCGCGTGAATCACGTGAGGCAGCGGCGAGGTTGACCACGCGTCGCAGCCTCCTCCCTTTGTGCTTCCCCTCCCTCACTGGCTTCTCGTCCAGGAAGCGGCTGCGGCGGCGGCAACAGCGACGGCGGTGTTGGTAGGAAGCAGTGGGGAGGTTGATGCGCGAGGGAGTAGTCGTCACGACCTCTTTCCTTCTCCCTCCACACTTCCCCTCTTGTGCCATCTTCTTGTCCAAGAACGGAGGAGGCGGCTCCCAGCGACATCACTCTCGTGCCCTTCTCTTTGTGATAGCTGGTTGGTTGCATGAGACTATTGAAATTCCTAGCGATGATGTTTTTTTTTCAATAAATTTCATCAGAATAGAACAATTTTTTATATGAACAAGTGTTAAGACAATTCTGAAGCAGCTATATATAGTGGGTGGTCTAATTAATTAAGCTAATTCTAAGACAATTCTTTGTGAATCCCCCTAAGCCTAGCCTAGGAGACCCTCTCCCCTTTCCACCCTTCCCTGTTCCATTTGTACCCTAACTCAGGACCCTAACTAATCACGATTGCCGCTGCGGATCGTCAGAGTTGGAGGAGAAGCCCACTAGAGTACGAATCGCGAAACCGAATTGAAGTTTATAAATTTGTCAGAATTTATCTTTATTTTACTATATGGAATGTGGTTTACAGATTCCCGATAATAATAACTAATAGAGTTTGGGACCATGTGCGTATGTACCTAGATAGGGAGCTCAGCTCATTGATGCACATGTACATGCGTCCATGTCTGGTACTTACTTGCGGGTAACTAGCACGCACTTGCACTAATTGGATAGATCCATCCATCACGATCGAGCTCACCTATGGATGCCTACGCTATATACCACACTTAAAATCCACTCTTGCGTGCGTGCTTGGTGTCAGTGGAACAAGCACCGAAGAACGACTATCGATAGAAGTTGATGATGAGGCGCAGCTTGGTGATTGTGATGGTGGCCTGCAGCTGCGCCACAGCCATAGCCAGAGGAGGAGGAGGAGGAGGTCTGAAGCTCAACTTCTACTCGGAGTCGGAGAGGTGCCCGAGGGCGGAGGAGGTGGTGAGGGAGGAGGTGCGGAGGCTGTACGAGGAGCACGGCAACACGGCGGTGTCGTGGTTGAGGGCACTCTTCCACGACTGCATGGTCTACTCCTGCGACGCCTCCCTGCTGCTCCACACCACCACCACCACAGGCGTCTCCGAGCAGTCCTCCCACCGCAGCTTCGGCATGCGCAACTTCAAGTACATCACCGCCATCAAGGCCGCCGTCGAGCGTGAGTGCCCTGCCACCGTCTCCTGCGCCGACATCCTCGCCCTGGCCGCCCGCGACGGCGTGGCCATGCTGGGTGGGCCCTCGGTGGCCATGCGGACGGGGCGGCGCGACAGCAGGGAGAGCTACTACGGCGTGGTGGAGCAGTACATCCCCAACCACAACGACAGCGTGTCCACCGTGCTGTCGAGGTTCGCGGCCATCGGGGTGGACACGGAGGGAGCGGTGGCGCTGCTGGGCGCGCACTCGGTGGGGCGCGTCCACTGCTTCAACCTGGTGGGGAGGCTGTACCCGCAGGTGGACGGCAGCATGGAGGCGGCGTACGGGGAGTACCTGCGGGGGAGGTGCCCGACGGCTGCGGCGACGGAGGACACGAGAGAGGTGGTGTACGCGCGCAACGACCGCGTCACGCCCATGCTCATCGACAACATGTACTACCGCAACCTGCTCGCCGGGCGGGGGCTCCTCCTGGTGGACCAGCAGCTGGCCTCCGACGCCCGCACGGCGCCCTACGTCCGCCGGATGGCCGCCGACAACGACTACTTCCACCAGCGCTTCGCCGCAGCGCTTCTCACCATGTCCGAGAACGCGCCGCTCACCGGCGCACAGGGGGAGGTCAGAAAAGACTGCAGGTTCGTCAACTCTAGCTAAGCTCGACTAGCTAGTAGTACACATATACATACATATATGATCGATGTAAAAATAATTGAGGTACGTTCTATGAGATCGATCGGTCTGTGAACTAATCGATCGGCGGCCTCTATCTGTTGGCATCGACTCCTCCATTGGATCTTTGTATTTTTCTCAACTTGTATGTACGTACGTATGTATGTGGGGTTCCGTCGAGTCGTGTGTGTCCGTGACCGTAACTGGACTCAATTATTATGGAGTAACATAATATATATTGTATGCGTGGCGTTCCATCGTTACAAATATGCAACAGTGTCTATCATCATAGCAGTAGTGCAGTGGCGGCAGCGACATGTTTCGATGGATCAGATTCAAAATACTTTGGGGGAATAAGTTCACCGGAGGTCCCTTAACCACAAAACCAGAAATGTCTACCCCTAAACTCACTCGAACCGTTCACCGGAGGTCCCTCGGCAGTATTTTCGCCCGGTTTTGCTGACGTGGCATCCTAGTCAGCAAAAAAAAATTAAAAAAATACATGGGGCTCACATGTCAGCTGCACATTTTTTTCTTCTCTTTTCTTCTCCTTCTCTCCTCTTCTCCTTCAGGCTGCAGGCGGAGGCGGAGCAGCCGCGCGCCATGGCCGCCGTCGTCGTCGGCTCTCCACCGTCGTCGTCGCCATGAGCGAGGCTACGCGGAGCGGCCGTCCGGTGGCGGAGCGGAGGCAGCGGAGCGCGGCGGCGGGCGGAGCAGCCGCGCGCCGTGGCCGCCCTCGTCGTCGGCTCTCCACCGTCGTCGTCGCCGTGGGCGAGGCCTAGAGTTACATGCACATATGCATTCATTCATGAATGTAGTACATATATATTCGATCGATCGATCTTGTCACTTTCAACCAGTGCAGCCTGCAAATCAATCACAAGCTGCTTTTGCTTTGGTCTTTTTCTCTCTATTGCATGCATGTATCCCTCACTTGAGAACCCATAGCTAGCATGCATGCGTTCACGGGCTTTTGGCCTTTCTTCTCTCGCGCGTGGAGGGACGCCATTGCCGCCGACAAGCTCGCGAGTGAAGCTCGGCCGGCTCTCTCTCCTCTCCGGCAAGAAGGGCGCCAAGGCCGCCCTGTCCGACGACGACGATTACGAGCCCCCCGCGCCGCCGCTCCCACCCGGGGACGGCGACAATGACGAGGAGCCCATCAACCTCGTCTTCAAGGGCGGAGATGAGGCCGGCGGGAGAGGGGGTGGCGCGCCGCATCGGCGAAGAGGTCGTTGCCGACCTCCTACCGCCGCTCCGCAGCCACACTTGCCCCCCGCCGCTCGCCGACCAGGCCCCCCGCTCTGTCGTAATCGCCCGCCGTCCTCTGCCCACCGCTGCTCCGCCTACCACGCTCGTGGAGGTCAACCAACACGACGACGACACCGGCGGTGAAGAGCTAGAGCATGACGAGCGCCGCCGCTCCGCTGCCACTCTCGCCCGCTGCCCTGCCCGCCGCTCCCGCCGTCCCAGCTGCCTCTCTCCCCCTCTCCCGCCACCGCTGGCGCGCTCGCTCCACGCCGCCCACCGCCGTGCCCGCCTCCTCTCCCCTCTCTCGCTTCTTCCCCGCGCGCCGCTGTGCCCGCACCGCTGCCTGTCGCCACGCCCTCATCTGCCCGGCCGCCTCACTGAAGAAGACGAGAAAAGAAAATGTGCAGCTGATATGTGGGCTCCATGTACTTTTTAATTTTTTTTACTGACTAGGATGCCACGTCAGTAAAACTGGGCAAAAATACTGCCGAGGGACCTCCGGTGAACGGTTTGAGGGAGTTTAGGGGTACACATTTCTGATTTTGTGGTTAAAGGACCACAGAAAATCTCGCTGTTAAGTTGAGAGACCCCTGGTGAACTTATTCCTAGTTTGGGATAGAGCGTTGACTGACGTTGGTTGCGATTGGGCCTCTTTCTCATCTTTCGACAAGTTTAATTGGGCCCCCATCACAACGTACGGCATATTTTATCCCCAACGTCTCCACTCTCACACCTCCCTCTCTCCTGAGTCCCCTCTTTCAAGATATTTAACTATTTATCAATTTTACATATAGCAATTTCACTAAACTTACATATCATAGATACATACATGATGGTCCACATATCGTAGGTTGTGAGTAACAAATCATTAATTACAACATCTTAAAAGTAACGAATAGTTAAATGCCCCTACGAGTCCCACATAAGCAACCTCACCGACGACGTCATGCACCCAAGCCGGTCGGCATCGGCAGCCTCGCCTCCACTCAGAGTAGGTGTACAATAGCAGACTATAAGCTAACTATAAATATATTTCGAGGAGATACCAAAACATGGCAGGGAAAGATTTGTAGTGGCAGATCTATCTCTTCTTCAAAAAAGATTATCAATCTTGGAGTATATGTATAGTTAGCTTTTGTATGAGAGCTAACACTCATTTTTTTCTTTATCTTTCTCTTCCACATAAGATTATAGTTGGCTTATAACCCACTGCCATCCTTGCTACATACTCTCTCCGTGCTCGTAAAGGAAGTCGTTTTGGACAGCGACACGGTCTCCAAAACACAACTTTGACTTCTTGTTTCTATAAAAATATTTATTAAAAAGTGATATATGTATACTTTTATGAAAGTATTTTTCAAGACAAATCTATTCATATAACTTTTACATTTTCAAACTCAACAACTAACTTTAGAGTTATTCATGATTTATATTCCCAAAGTTTGATTTAAACATTATTCTAAACGACTTCTTTACGAGTACAGAGGAAGTATATCAACATCCAACATCACAGGAAGCCTTCTGGTAAGACTCGCATTAATGCATTATACTTGTTGGCTGCTGCTTTGTGTGTGGTGTGTTGTTTTGAGGTGCAATCATTCGAACAATCAAACATGAAGGCTCTAGCAAATGAAACCTGAAGATGTAGATATTCTGGGTAAAGGGTTTGTCTTTCCCTTTTTTAGTAGTCTGACAGATCAATTACAACCTCCGCATTCATCTTAGGTATTAGGACCTATTTCGGGAAACTTTTAGTAGCTGTATCTTTCAACAGAATCTCTAACTCTCCCAAACAGCTTAGATTATTACCTAGATTCTACAAATATGTATATGTAGAATCCATAAAATAAATTAGAAGCTAGAAGCTGAAAAACCCAACTTCTTCAAATTCTTAGAAACTGGATACTAACTAGCAAATTATGAGAATCTTAAGCTCCTCATTTCATCTATGATTGGCTTGCTTTAACCATGCGAAAAGAGGTAACAATTACGTAGTACTCCCTCCGTCCCATATTATATGGGATTAGGGGTTAAAAACGTGTCTCAAAATATAAGGGATCGGGTAGGTAGAGTACTAATGCAAACAAACATCGGGCAGGGAGAGTACTAATGCGGACAGAGAGCTGTCGGTGGAATTTGTCCCTACCTTATCCTCTCACCGAGTCGCCCATCGACCACCGCTCGTTCCCCTCCCGATTTTCTTCGCTTTTTCTCTGTCCCCTCCATCAGCGCCTCCCTCCCACCCGCATCTTCTTCCACCTCCTCCCATCCATCCGAGCTCCTTCCCTTCCACCTCCCATCCGTCGACGCCAACGCCGGTGGTGCGGCGGCCAACCTGGCCCATGCGCCGCCGCCACCGGTGCCCAACCTGGCCCGTGCGGTGGGGGCACCGCCGGGGAAGCGAATCGAGGTGGTGTGGGAGCGGGAGAACACGCTGCTCTCGTTCGGCCAGGCCGCCGCGCACGCCGCCGTCGCCTTCGTCGAGTTCAACGTCCAGGTATATATATACAGCGCAACCGAGTTTGATGTGCGTGCTTCCATTTCCACGTTGTTGGTAGTACCTGTGTTTGTTTTGGATCTTACATTGGATGTCAGTTTACGCTTTGAATTGTTTGATTTTGACACCGCTGCATCGCAATGCAAGATTTGGAAGCTAGCGTGGGTATGACTTGGATGTAGCCATTGATTGGTGTGGTACTGGACATGAAATTTGCAGCAACGTTCTAGCCAGTGAACTATATGGGACAAGACTCACAAGTAGGAGTATCAATTTAATCGCATTTAACCAGGATCTAGATGCCACCATGCTAAATTGGTCAAGAATGAAGAATGGAGCGATTTTAGGTGGATGTTTTGCAGGGATGTAGTTATCCATTAGGCAAAGTGCTAGGATTTGAAGTTGCAATTCTTGTTTAGAGCTGAAGAGGTTCTTAAAACATTGCCAACTACTCTTAGATCATACGGAGTACTAGGAAATTAACGGTGTTTAAAAAAACTGAAGTGTCAATTTTATTAATCTTAAACGCTGTTAGGCACATCCTATCTTAGATTCATGGTAGATTTAAAGGTTCTATGTTTCATTTTGATAGTTTAAAATTTAAAATTTTATAGGAATATAATGATTTAACATGTCGCCGGCAGCAGTTTACGGGCTGGCGGCAGAATGCGGCCTAGCGGCAGGGTTCGCGGGACGTGGTGGTTGCTAGGCAAAGAGCCGCGTCCAGTGGCGGAAGGCGTTTGTTTTGACGACTTGGTGTTTGTCCCTGACTCGGATGATGAAGGGGCTGGCAATGAGTTCAACTCACAAGGTTTTGACGACGAATTTGTGCCTGAAACACAACAAGATGTTCCAATCGAGGAGATTGGCATAGGGTTCCTCTCTTATTTATTTAATTATTAGTCCTTTCCATTCAATTTTGTTAAATTATGTGCTTTTTGATGTTCCATTTATTTCTCCTTACGGTGCAGCCATCCTGTGACAAGCAAATCAGGAGGGCCGCGCCAGCTCGGAGTGCATCCTCGCTTGGGGTATGTGATTCACACTAGATTGTTGATTTGGGATGGTTATGCATTTGTAGCATGCAAATTGAGTCACATCTTGATTTATATTGATTTGTCTTATCTTCTTTACAGTACAATGTTGCACGATTGGCTTCGGGCTATTTCAGAGTATGAGAAGCCAAGCATCGACATGGCAACCATCGAGAAGGCATGGGCCGATGAGAAAAAGGCAATCGCTGATGCGGACTATGAGGGAAATCCAAGCAAGGTGAACACAAGCTCCGAGAAGAAGGCATGTGTCGACGAGGGGAAGTCAATCTCCGATGCAGAAACTGATGATGAGGGCGTCGGTGTGCCTGAGAAGAAGGCATGCATCGCCGAGGGAAAGTCAATCTCCGACGCAGAGACTGATGATGAGGGCGTCGGTGTGCCTCGGAATTTACAGATGAAAGATTTGCACGATATCATGTTTCCTACCTGCTGAATGTGATTGTGTTGTGGTATTTTATTGTGGAAATGCACAATGGACATAGGAGTACTTAGTGCAATATGGATGTAAGACTACCATGTTTATAAGTGTACAAATTACCGTAGTGTTCCATATGGTTGCCAGACTAGTACGAAGTATTTTGTTATGGAAATGCCCTAGTTATAGTCATATACTCCTATAATATATTGTTCTAATGATTGTAGTATTGTTCCAAAGTTAGTGCTGAAATTAACTATGCAATGACATGTTCTGAAATGGGTTCAATTAAGTATTCATTGTTATGAAATTAGTGCTGAATTAAATATAGAATCACATATTGCTGATTGCTAAAACTAGTTATGCTGAATTACCTATATATAACAAAAGTCTGAAATCATATTTACAAACTCCATCGGAGTACGAAAAACAAAAGTATGGCTAGGCTGGACTAGTTGTTCAACATGGTCTGCATCACCACATACTTACAAACTCCATCGGAGTACAAAAGATAAAAGTATGGCTAGGCTAGGCTAGTTTAACAAGGTGTGCATTACCACATACTTACAAACTCCATCGGAGTAAAAAAACAAAAGTATGGCCAGGCTGGACTAGTTCAACAAGGTCTGCATAACCTTGTTGTAAAGTGCAATATCACAAGTCAGACTAGTAGGGAGCATGTCAAGCCTCTCCAATCGATCCTTGTTCATATGGGGTATCTTGTAGCCATTGCCTCCATCGGCTTTCATCACTTCTATGAAGCAAGCTTGTAGGGTTAGGAAAACCCTACTCACCAAGTTAGAATTATACTCATTGTACTCTTCGTCCACATTGCTGATTAATTCATCCATGTTACTACAATTTTTGAGGTATGTCTTCGATTGAAGAGAAGCAAAGAAACCCAGATCAAGCACATTCATGTTTGGTGAATTAGGGCGTTGGTTCATGATGCGTATGTCTAGGCCTACTTGGGCCACCGCGAGGGCAAATGCTTCGTCGTTTGGCAGAATATGTGTCCGTGCATTGTCTTGCTGAATCCAAATGGTCTTCCCTACATCTTCTCTCGGCCAACAAGAGGCAATAGTTGGAATAACCTTTGTAATCAAGAAAGCCCTACTTGTTTCTCTCGACACCGTAATAGATTTTGTGACCAATGTACCCTTCGGCCTGTTGCGACTACTCCTTTGTGCTGGTTCCTAACATATAGAGCAAAGAACAAGTTAGCTACAAAGTGACTTGAAAGCAATAAAAATAGATTGAATCAAGTTGAGACTTCACCTTCCTAACAAAGGGCCATATTCCTATTTTGACATCGAAGTAGCAATTTCCTTCCTCATCATACCTAGGCTTTGCAAGAGCTGATAAAAACATAACTTTATCTATGGCATTTTTATTTTGCACACATCTCACAGGTTCATCTTCATTGAATACAAGGTAGAAGGTCTTGTTTTTCATAGTGGCGTTGAACCATTTTTCATCAATATGCACAATGTTTTGCATGTCTATAAATCTTGGTTCAGCATTCAAAGTAGCAACATCTAGCATGGATACACAGAACTTGAGCCTTTGTTTTTTATTAGCTTCCTTCAAGTAAGGTTTAATGCTATTTTAGTGACGGCGAAGGGCTCCTTCTTTGACTAACCTATGCACCTTGCTTTTGCTAGCATTCAATGCGCTAGCAAGAGATCTGATGCTACACCTTAAGTTCAAAGGAAGTGCTAAAACCTGATCCAAATCAATGTCACTTCTTTTTCGGCCACAATTACCAGGCTTCTTTGATTTAAAGTCAACTTCAACACCTGCTGCTAAACATTTCTTCGCCTTTGTCCAAATGTCTTGTACAACTCTCCTTGTCACATCAACCATAGTTGCAATAATTGTTGTAGTATCTCTATCAACAAGTTTCCCATTGATAGTACTTGCAAGTAAAGCACCATAAATAGCTTTGTTCTCAGCTTCTGGTAAATATTTCCTTCTCTTTATATTGTCTTGTTGAGTATCTGCACAAAGAAAATATTTATATATATACATATCAGTTGGCAATATATTTTATACTTGCAGTACACTAATGAATGTCATTTGCATGTCATACCTTCCTCATCACTTGATGTATGGAGATCTTCATCAAAGACAACATCCATATAAGGAGAATAAACATCAAAATCCTCCTCGTCTGCATGGACAGAAAAGGTGAGACATGAGCTACTCATATGATATCCCCATCTGCATCACTGCTGATTACATATGAGCAAAAAATAATGTATGTACCTGCATAATTTGATTGATCTTGGAGAACATAGAGTCTGTCATCGTCAAATACAATATCATCTTCTCCATAATTTGCTGCATGACATGTGACGAAGATAAATTTAAAGTTGAAGGTTGTACAAAGAAACTAGCTAATGAAGTAGTGCATTCGCGCGGCTTTAACCACCCTGTCATGTGCTTTGTATGATGAAATATATAGAAAAGTGCATTATAAATTAAGTAACCATTCTTGACCACAAAAGTTTTTTTTTGCATTAGGTCATCTACCACAAAAAAAACACATGTTCCCATACCTATATGGGTCATCCTTCAGTGGTGTTATATATAAAGTTCATAATATTAATTTTTTGGATTGTTTTAGTAGTTTCTGATATTAAAACCAGCTTTATGAAATAAAACTTGAACTATGCTGATTCCAACTATTTAGAACACATGATGTACGCTTATAAACTTTGGAGATTGTTGGGCTAATGGCTGGTTATCATAATGAGCAAATAAAATTTATAGAGCCATTTATGATCATCATTTTTGCACAGTACCACATAAGAGTATATATATGACTGATGGCTGAAGTTTACAACTCTTGACTAAAAGCAACAACTGATTGACACTAATAGCAAAGTTGCAAAGCTCTGTGTTATGCAAAGAAGTAATATTGGGCTTGTTAGTTTATGAATTTGTTCATAAATTTTGATCATACAAACTTTGCTACTTTCAACATTTATGTTTCTGTTATTTCAGCAGAAGGGAGGATGGGAAATGTGAGTAAGACCATAACTTGCTTTGCATTAAGATTTTGATTCCATACCTGGCTCCATGTTTAGATGACAAATTTCTTGTGCACTCCGGCCATTGGAGAGTTCAACTGCTTGCATGGCAGGGTCTGGATGTTCATCTTCATGAGCACCAAAACATTGGTTGTCAGGAAGCTCTTCATCTTCATATTGGAAGGCATCTTCTCCTTGCACAGCAGGATCCAGGTTAAGGTCAGGGATCCCATCACCTTCATCTTGTAGCACTTCTTGCACACCAAGATCAAGGTTGAGATCAGGAATCTCATATTCCTCTTCTTCCATGGATTAGTTGAGGGTCTCTCTTGGTGTAATGCTGGAGTAGGTTGCTAATATGAGTGTAATATGAGAGCTTTGGTTTTTAGACCTGTGAGTGAGAGCAAGGGAGTGAAAATGGCGGGTTGGTTCTGAGCATCAAGTTTAAATTTTGAACAGCTAATGCCTGTGTATTTGTGGCGCTAATGTGTAGTGCGTGTGAATTTTGGGCAGCAAAGAGGTGAGTGGGATTTAATTGACTCTTGTCAACATATGCATTAATGTCATTGTATACTGAGGAATGCTTACTCTTTCTTTGTGCCAATCATTTGCTGGCAAGCTTGTAAACCCAAATAGTCTCTCACTGCTAGTGCCAGTACTAAGTAAATGAGGGGTACATGCATCTTTCGCCAACCTCCTTATTTTGGATGAACAGTGTCCAGTCCCATATAATGTGTGTCGGTGATATGGGCCCGGGGGTATCAGATTTAGAGCGAGGAGGCTGCCCCACGATGCCACGTGGTCCTCCCCGGAGGGGAGTCAGGCCCGAGGTAGGGTGGCGGCCACTCCTTCCCAGAGACTGGATGGAGGAGGCTGCCCCCCGATGCCACGTGGCCCTCCCCCGAGGGGAGTCAGGCCCAAGGTGGGGCGGCGGCCACTCCCTGGCCGAGACTAGAGGGAGAAGGCTACCCCAGGCGCCACATGGCCCTCCCCCGAGGGGGTATCGGGCCCGAGGTCGGGCTGCAGCGGCCCCCTCCTGTGACTAGGGGTCGGGCTCCCCCGACCCCCTCTCTAGGTCACCATGTACGGTGGGTTAAATGTCCGCCTCCAGGTGCCCACCTACCCGCATTTATGGCGGCTCGAGTAGTCGCGCAACGCCGCATTTAATGCGGTGTGCAATGCACTCCACCGGTCTGTGACCGGTCGAATGACCGATGGGACTAGGGTAGTGCGCCTGTGCGCTGCTCGTGTGTCAGGCGACGTGCAGCCTGACATGTCCCATCAAATAATGATGGTGAGAGGTTCTCATCCTCTTATCCTAGCCAGAGTCGGTCCTCCCGCTCTGGTCAAAGTAAGGCTCCCGTTTCCCGGTGTAATAAGAGCCCAGAAGTCCTCACCCATTAAATGGTGACTAACAGGGGCACCCCCCGTGTCAGGCAGCAAGATTTGACAGGCCTCATCAGCAAGATGACGTGCGCTTGCTTCCCAAGTCAAGAGACAAGACATGCATTTAATGCAAAGATTGTAATCCTTCTCCACTAAGTTATGTTTTTGGGCCCATGTGGTAACCCCTTGGAGATATAAAAGGAGGTCCAGGCCTAGTAGGAGGGGGGGCTGGAGCCCCTGATGATCAACACCTTCTACCCCAACAAGGAGATCTTGTAATTTCTCATAAGATCAGCTAAGCACAGGAGCAGGGTATTACGCTTCTTAGCGGCCCGAACTTGTATAAACCTCTTTTGTCTCATCGTCTTTGGGGGGGGCTAACCCCCTCAAGATCACACAGCTCCGCTCACCAAGCCCTCGAATCTCACCCGCTGCCCCCAGCCGAACTCACAAATGGGGGCCTCATGGTTCCCTGGTGGAGGAGTTCATTCTCCGACAATGTGGGACGGAGGGAGTACCAGATACGCACAAGCACATAGACTTGCTTGCGGTTTCCTAGAGTAGGGTAAAGTGGCATAAGATTTAACATAGGATTATGCTTAATGGGGGAGTAGAAACTAAACGACGTTTGAGTCTTCAATCTCCTCTAACCCCCCAAACCCCCGAGGACAGTCTCAACTCTCTATCTCAAGTTCTCAACTACTACCTCCATATTTTAATGCATGGCGCCGTTGACTTTTTTTTCAACGTTTGACCATTGTCTTATTCAAAAAATTTATGTAATTATTATTTATTTTACTGTGACTTGATTCGTCATCAAATATTCTTTAATCATGACATAAATATTTTCATATTTGCACAAAAATTTTGAATAAAATAAATGGTCAAATATTTATCGAAAAGTCAACGGCGTCATACATTAAAATACGGAGGGAGTAGTTTATAGCATTAAATATATTGTCATTGAAGAAAAAAACTAATATAGCAAAAGAGTTATTAATAAGAAAAGAGGAAAAAAATAAAGTAACCATTTAAGAGGAAAAAAAACCTTTTCGTCTCTCACTGGGCCGTCAATAAGGCGTTTGTACTTGATGGGTAAATGGACCTTTTGGTCAGAATTACTCTAATCGAAGAATAAAAATCATAAAGATCTAAAAAAAAACATAATGTGCAAGATCTATTCCATATTCAATATGAATGAATATAAACATAATGTGTAAGATCTACTCCATATTCAATATGAATGAATATACTAAACCAGACTTTTGCATCATAAAGAAATTAGCTTTACACGGTACAGACGTGTAGTCACCTTTCTCCATATATACGCTGCCCAGGAGATGCTTGGGCACAAAAGGGGCGGGGAAAAAAACAGAAAGCGAATCGAGCATTACTGAAACATAAGCAAGATAAGAAAGGGAGAGAATGTGTAAAGGAAAACAAAGAAGGAGAATAGCCGATGGGTCAAGGAAAGGCACACATGCTTGAATGTTAGCTGGATAGATACCTCGCTTTGCTTCCGTTGCATTTTTTCTTCTCTTGTTTTTCATGATGATCAAGACTCGAGGGAGAGCAACGTCCATTATCCATCATTTTGTCTTTCGTCTCGTGGACTAGTCTGTTGCCTTCTTTTCTTTTTGCTTAATTATTGTATTGTCTTATACCGCTTTCAATTACTGTACATGGCTGTACTTTTGTGCCCCATTAACTCTCCCAATTTTTTTCCTCTTTATTAGCTTGTACTATACTACCCCAAGTCCCCAACCTAAAATAAATAAGTGCATCTTGTCCAATATTTGATCGTTCGTTTTATTTAAAAAAATTATAAAAAAATAAAAAATATCACACATAAAGAACTATTTATGTTTTATCATCTAATAACAATAAAAAATACTAATCATAATTTTTTTAAATAAGACGAATCGTTAAACGTTGGATATAGACAGTATATAATTATACTTATTTTGAGACATTTAGAGTAGTTGCTTGCTGTTTCTTTTTCTTCTCTTTCTTTCTTATACCTTCCGGTTCCACAGGCAGACTCATCGTATGGAGCGGATGTCGTATCATAATTATATCATATATTAGAACTAAACACAATGGACACATGTTATGCTTATAGACCACGTATTATGTGCATTCTTATCCGTCCTCCACATGCACTCACACCTCACCTGTCGGTGGGGCCAACTAATAATTAATACTCCAACAGCTAACCAAGCAATACTCTATGGCAAAATATCTTTATTGTACTCTAGTAGATTAGATCACTAATAAAAAGTAGAAACTCTGCTGCATATTACTCCCTCCGTCCCATAATGTTGCAACCTAGGATGGGATGAGACCCACCTAGAACTACGAATTTGAACATGAGGACCCATCTTAGGACTACGAATCTGAACATACATGTCCAGATTCGTAGTCCTAGGATGGGTCTCATCCTGACCCATCCGAGATTACAACATTATGGGACGGAGGGAGTAGTCTTCTATCTTAAGCTGACTCGATAAAAGTACTACTCCCTCGGTCCCTCCTCCTAGGTTTAGCTCTTAAAATTTAGCCTAAAATATAACATCTTATTCATCAATATTTTTTTTCCAACTAATCCTAAATCTTCACCATTTAATTTTTCTATTTATCTTTACTTCTTATCTAATTAGATTTTCTTTAATTTACTTGTACCTATTTTCTTATTAATAATCATGTCCAACTCTAAAATTTTTATATTCTGGAACGGCCTGCATAGTGGTGTGAGAACTTTGACCTTTGATCCATAATAATTATTTAGTGAATTGAGCTAGTGGTGTTGAAAATTCCATCCATTAAATAATTACTCTTGCATACTCAAATCAATGAATTAATAAAATGTAGTGACCGTGCCGACGGAGGAAGACGAAGACAGGAGACGGTTACTGGAGTTGAGTACTCCACCCACCACACCACACAAGAGAGAGAAGGGTTGGGGTTGGGGTCACTCTTTCCTTTTCTCTGTTGTTGTTGGCTTGATGATGAGCTGATTCGCATAATTCCAATTCCAATTCCAATTATAATTCCAAGAGGCTTATCATCAACTCAACTGAAGAAGAAGAAGAAGAAGAAGAAGAAGAAGAGGAGGAGGGTTGTGAACTGATTTGGGAAGGGAGGGGGAGGAGGAAGGCGATCGATCGGCGATGGGCACGTACAAGTGCTGCCTCATCTTCAAGCGCCGCTTCCGCTGGAACGACGCGCCGCCGCCCGACGATGTCCGCGCCCTCTTCGCCAACCACTCCGCCGGCGGTGGCCCCCACATGGCCGCCGACGGCCTCCGCGCCTACCTCCAGGCCACCGGCCAGGACGGCGACGTGGACATGGAGCGGCTGGTGGAGCAGATCCGGCAGCTGCAGGGGCGCGGCGGGCGCATCCCGCGGGTGGGGCGGGCACTCCCACTCCTGACGGTGGACGACTTCCACCGATTCCTCTTCTCCCACGAGCTGAACCCACCCATCCGGCACGGGCAGGGGCAGGTGCACCACGACATGGCCGCCCCGCTCTCCCACTACTTCATCTACACCGGCCACAACTCCTACCTCACCGGCAACCAGCTCAGCAGCGACTGCAGCGACCTCCCCATCATCAGGGCTCTCCAGAGGGGCGTCCGCGTCATCGAGCTCGACATGTGGCCCAACTCCTCCAAGGATGACATCAGCATCCTCCATGGCAGGACGCTCACCACCCCGGTCTCCCTCCTCAAATGCCTCCTCTCCATCAAGCAACACGCCTTTGAGGCCTCCCCTTACCCGGTTATCATCACGCTCGAAGACCACCTCACCCCCGATCTCCAGGACAAAGCAGCCAAGGTATATATAATCTTCTTCTTCTCTCTGTCTCTGCCTTGCTCGCTCACTTGCCAATGGGCCAGATGGTTCTTGAAGTTTTCGGCGACATCCTCTACTACCCTGACAAAGATCACCTCAAAGAGTTCCCTTCGCCTCAAGACCTCAAGGGCCGTGTCCTCCTCTCCACCAAGCCCCCCAGGGAGTACCTTCAAGCCAAGGATGGTAATGCTGCCACCATCAAAGAGGACGCCAAGGCCGCCGCCACTGACGATGCCGCATGGGGAAAAGAAGTCCCAGATATTCACTCTCAAATCCACTCTGCCACTAAAGTACTCCTCATATTACTAGCTTCTTCTTCTTCTTCTTATGCTCATAGTAGAGCCAGTTTCTTACCTGCAGGGCACACTTTTGTTTCATTCTGCAGCATGACCAAAGAGAAGATGACGACGACACCGATGAAGACGAAGATGACGAGGAGGAGGAGCAGAAAATGCAACAGCATCTAGCTCCACAGTACAAACACCTTATTACCATCAAAGCAGGAAAGCCAAAAGGTACTCTACTTGATGCCTTACAGAGTGACCCAGAAAAGGTTAGAAGGCTCAGTTTGAGCGAGCAACAACTTGCCAAATTGGCAGATCATCATGGTACCGAAATTGTAAGGTACGAATCTGCTAAGTGAATGAAGTTGCTCTTCCTTTCCATCTTCAGCATCAGTGAAAATGTTTTTTTTTTTTTGCACTTTATAGGCCATCTCTCGCTAACTCTGCTGAAATGCCCAATCTTTTTGGCCAAAACAGGTTCACACAGAGAAACCTACTGAGGATATACCCAAAGGGCACTCGGGTCACATCATCCAACTATAATCCATTTCTTGGTTGGGTGCATGGTGCTCAGATGGTAGCGTTCAATATGCAGGTGAGGTGCACTTCTGTTCCTGAGCAGTTAGTTCCAGAGTGATGGTTTAGCTCTTTGTACCTTATTTCCAATTCAGTAAATTCGGTGAGGAATCAATTTGCTGAATGCAGTTAAGTTTACATTTTATCTTATAATTATACCTGAACGATTATTATGGTATAATATAACTTCAGAATTGGTGGATCAAATTTGAGCAACCTGGAATTTCTGGCTCCATGTTTTCTGAATGCCTGTCAAGTTGTGACATTTGCCGCTTCTTTTACCGTTGTCATATTAAAAATACATGAAATTTCTTGCAGGGATATGGAAGAGCTCTTTGGTTGATGCATGGATTTTATAAAGCTAATGGTGGCTGTGGTTATGTGAAGAAACCAGATTTCTTAATGCAAACTGATCCAGAGGTTTTTGACCCAAAAAAATCCCTATCTCCCAAGAAAACCTTGAAGGTATGCATGCCTGTCATTCTTTTTGTTTGTGCTCGTCTGTGAAACCTGGAGACTTCACTGAAGTGCTGCCTTTCAGGTGAAAGTATACATGGGGGATGGTTGGCGGATGGACTTCACGCAGACCCACTTTGATCAATATTCTCCTCCAGACTTTTATGCACGGGTACGTACGTGGATTGAATTTCATACCGAAAACGGTTCGCTACTCCAAGTTGATGTGATATTATGGAGGTGACGATGGAAAATGGACTTGTGATGGGATGATGGATAGGTGGGGATAGCGGGAGTACCAGCGGACTCGGTGATGAAGAGAACGAGGGCGATAGAGGATAACTGGGTGCCGGTGTGGGAGGAGGATTTCACCTTCAAACTGACCGTGCCGGAGATCGCGTTGCTGCGGGTGGAGGTGCACGAGTACGACATGTCGGAGAAGGACGACTTCGGCGGCCAGACGGTGCTGCCGGTGTCGGATCTCATCCCGGGGATCCGAGCGGTGGCACTCCACGACCGCAAAGGGATCAAGTTGAACAACGTCAAGCTTCTCATGCGCTTCGAGTTTGAATGACCCAACACACCGACACTTTCTTTCTTTCTCGCCGCATCGCATTGCACTGTGCCTGTGCTTGTGCAGCATCCATCATTTGGTTTGGTTTTTCATGTTCCTGTGCATACGCATTTGTGTCTGTACATAGGCTCGGTCCTGTATATTGTTTGTGAGTAACATGTAATAATAAGGCTTCACGCCATGTTCATTCCTCCTGTTTGAACCCCTCCAAATATATTAATACCGAAGGTACAAAATATCTCAACGGCAGACGGTTCTGTTTGCAGGGCAGGAGTAATTTGGCAAGTGCGCTATGTAATAACTAAACTCGACCACAAAAAGACCATATACAGTTGAACCCCCCCCCCCTCCCCGCCAAAAAAAAAAACGTATGTAACAAATATCAGACATTCTTCAGGCACAAAAGTTCAATGAAAAATTTTAGAAAATATAGACCGCCAAAGATGAAAAGACGGCTAAGAATCTTCCCATTTCCCTAGTCAAGGTAAAACTGTATACTACATATCCAACTGCCCAGCTACAATGAATTATCCAAGTCCTAAGTCCTAACAAGGGTCTATTCCAGACCCATCTTGAACTTCAATGCCCACCTCCTTCCGGCATATAACTAATACAGAAAGGGAAGTAACCAATAGTTGATTGGGACGTCACATTCTGCAGAGACAAAATCCGCAGACAATTGCGTGTTTGTTCAGTTAAAAACAGAGCATTATAATGGCATTTATTATGATAAAACAAAGAGCCAAAAATTTTGAGATATTTACCACGGCTGCCGAAGAAGATTAGCTAACAGCGGAAGATTCCTGGGTCACTTCTGTCGTAGTATCTGCAGCTGAACTGCTGGTTTCTGCAGCCTGATTTTGGCTACTTTGTGCTTGAGGTGCAGGTTGCTGTTGATCTTCAGCAAGACCCAAAACTACCAAGGTAGACCTGCCATAAAATGGAAGCTCTGAATCAGATCCTGCCCTCGTGTACTTGAAATGGATAAGTAGCTTTTATGCTGGTAAGATATAGGGTTAAGTACAAACCTTGGAAGAGTTGATCGTACGTTAGGTTGGTTCGCGTGCTCAACCAAAGGTGCCTTCAGTACAGGATTCTTATTCAAGGCATTTTCAAGTTGAGGAGCTGGTAACTGATAAACCAAGTTTGATGTTATGAAAATTATTGGCAGTTTGGCACTATGATAAAAATGAACTCAAGAGCCACTAGCAGATAGCATGTAAAACAGCTAGCGGATGGTGCACATGCTACAGAGATTTTTGCATACAAGAACAAGTAGATTCTACGTAGAAGCAAAAGTGAGCCAACCTGCAGCAGCACACCATATGACTGAGGTTTCGTCAAGATAGCACACTTCAGGAATCCTACCCATAACTTGGGATACTTCCATATCTGCAATAATAAAAGATGACATGATATTTCCATATCCAAAATTATGTAAAACCACTGAAACTAAACTTAAAAAAAAAATGAAAACCTGCTTGCTAACAAGACGTGACATGATATCCATCACAAAGTCCACCTGAAAAGAAGGCTTACCGTCAGATTATAAGAACAAGAAACAGGTCTATAAGATTGAGAAATAATACCGAAAACTCCCAAGAGATTTTTCATAATAAAGAATTGCAATGCTCGTCAACTTCAATATGTTATCATGCCAACACTGTGTAATAAAGGAAGTTCCACATGAATATCTTTGATAGTTTGATGGTCCCAATCCTCCATCACCTTCGAGAGAGTGGAAAGGACATATATTACCATGTAACTGCTTTCTCATAGAATCAAGTGGATAAGTGCACGCACCAGATATGAAGCAAGCAGTTGTAAACAGTAAACACAAGTGATCAACTCTTTGCTTCTTAAGTGGCAGTAAAATACAACTAAAGAAAAATCATGAATGGACACTTTCTAATTGAATCAGGCGCAAGCACCAAAACCAGGAAAGGGAATGTGGCCTACTCAACATGAACCACAGGTAGATCATGTAACAGCATGACCGTGGCATTTCAACTTGATTTGTTGTACTATCAGCAGATGTTAACTATATATTATAACACCAATAAACTATCAGCCACAGTTAGAATATTGGGTTCATGCAGTTAACTCACCAATGCAGGAAATGCACCGATTGCTTGCATAACAGTTCGCATAAACAGCAACGGAAGTGGAATTTGTTCAACCTGAGGAAAAGTAGAGCTTGAGCAATGACCCAACAACTACATCATATCACAAGGCAGGTACATCTGAAAAGGCGAAAAATATGATCATATATACCAGTTGGTTCAGTGCTTTCGCCAAAACTTGTTGAGTGAATATTGTCCTTTGCTCAAAACAAGCAGCACAGGCATCAATAACCTATCATAAGATAAAATGAATTACCAAATTTATCAGTATATTAAACTAAATCGCCAAATGATCTATTTAAAAATATTGGAAACAGACCTTTTTGAGTGGTATTCCTTCTTTCTCAGGATCTATTACATGAATCGCAATCAAAATTTCTGATGGATCAAGAGAAGGCCCATTCTGCGGTGATCCCTGCAATAGTCAGCAAGTTATAATGTATCATAAGCCCGCACAAGCTGGGAAACCCTTAAAACTAAACTGAATCAATTTACCAAAACCAAACAAGTACACTGAACTTGCACTTTGCAACAGGCATAAAAATAAAATTTTCAACAAGTAAAACTGTAATATTTACATTTTACAGGCAGTAAAAAAAATAAACAATTACCATTGTCCTACTTTGAGAAAAATAATTAAATGAAAAGGAAATCATATCATGAAAAGAAAAAACATGAAGGAAAAATCAAACATGATAGATGAGCTGTGGAATCATATCTTATTGTCTTATTGAATGCTGCAAATTTGCAGCTAATAAGATCAATCAGTGTTTGCATGTAATATGGATCAGTTACGGTCTGATGGATTCTTGCGGTGTGTGAGTGCCTTTGAGTAAACTTTCCAGTATTTTTCTAGATAAAAATAAAAGCTCCCAAATCTTTATAACTGCAACAAGAAAACTGTGCCCTACTAACAGAAGACCAAAGTTAATCCACTTTGTTACCAGTTAAAGTCATGCATTATCTTCTCCCCCCAGTCAACTTTACATACTTTGACGACATAGTTGGCCTAAGAAGGATAGCTAAGCTACTGGATGGTCATTGAATACAGGTGAATTTTTGGGGTGGTGTGGCACTGCATAAGCTTCTTTCTGTATTCAACTGCAGAAGTCTAATATATAATACTCACGTGAAACATATAACCCCAAAAGGAGAGGGTAGAAACAAGGTTTTACTAAAAAAACATTAAAGTTGTTATTTTTTTACGTCAAAGGTGCAACGAAAGGATCAGCTTGGACATGAACTTAAGTTAATACTCAAATACAAATCACAGTTAAGGATCAGATAGAAAATTAACACAGCATGCACATATTTCATGCCAGACAAAAACTAACCTGCAGGATTCGAGAAAGTGCAACTTGAAACTTATCCAAGGGAAGATTAACAATACTGGGAAAAACAGGGAGGACCTGAGAAAAAGCACAATGAACAATAAATGTGAAACTATAATAATAATACAGGTGACATATTGATGCCTAGAGACCATAAAAGTTCCACTAATGCAACATGCCATGCATTGTCAAAGATTCTTAACACGGAAAAGTTGGATACCCAGATTAGTCAATTATTAAATGTTAATCAGCATATGTACACCTTCTAATTGAAACACTCCATTGCAAAAATTATTACCACAGGTTTTGCAAATACAATTCAAATAGTATAAATTGTGAGCAATTCAGCAGCATATGCTGATTAACATTTAATAAATGACAGTACACAACAGTCATTAGGTGACTGCAGGAAATGAAGACTTAAAGTAAATATAAACTACTGCATAAATTCTATAGTTCAATAAAACTAGAAATAAGGTATGCATGCTGCTGGTTCATTGTAATATCTTCAATGTTGCAAGGGGGAGAAAAAAACCTCATCTTTTGGCAGATGAGCCAAGACTGCAAAAAGGACCTCGATATCCTGCAAAATGAAGCCAGAATGTTAATAGTATCTCAGGTGGGAATCAGTCCAGAAACAAAAGTTGAACTCTGATAAAGATAAGTAAAGAACCTTTGTTTTAGAATATAAGTTCTTTACAGAGGAAATCAGATCTTGAGATGGCATTGCTCCATCGGTGAGTGTCTGTAAAACCTGTGTGGCGATGCAATTTCATGGGTTATGATGTATTCAGATAAAACAAACCTTTTAAGAAAATTTGATGAAACATCTTTTTCTGTACACATTTAAGCAGAATTTTGGATTTTTATCATAAAAGAACAACTTGCACCTGCATCAGTAGGTCCCGACTATCAGCTGGTGGGTCTGAGATGATCCCAAGAAGACTGGGAGATGAGCCTATTGTGCGGATCAGAATGGGTACTTGTCGATGAACTGCCTGAAAGGTATACAATATATCAAATGGATATAGTTTATTACTGATTGAGCCATTGGCATGGCAGAGAGAAGCAGTCAGCACAGACCTGCTTGGCAGCTTGTGGTAGACTTCCATATATTGCAAATACATGCCGAAGAAGGGAATGCTTCTGGCAAGTAAGATGTAAATTGCATGCTGTTAGTAAAATCCATAGAATCAGATCAAGATGTTAAACTTTAGTAAATACTAACCTTGGTGCACAAAGCAAAATAGAGTGACATCAAAGTTTGAGAATCTGCTACTGAAGACGATAAATTTTCTGAACCACCATCCTTCATAAGACACAGTTCATCCCAATAAGAAAAGGCAGCACTATAATTCACTTGAAAAGGAACAGAAATGTACTCAAGGTTATCTTCCAAGACAATATCAATTAAGTCATCTACAATTCTGCATATCTTACTCATCACTTTTTCTTTTTACATCACTTCGTAGGTTCATCTATATGACTTTATTCGTCTGTTTTTCATCTGTTTCTTGGTTTTAGTGTATTACTTGGTTGATTTTATGACAAAGTTCAACCGCAATTCTATTTAAGAATCAACTAAACTGTAATAAGTCCAGAACAGTACATGTGAAAGAAATTAGAGCATAAATCAAACCTTGGGTGCTTCTGGAGTAGACATTTCAGAAGCTGCTGATTCATCAGCTGGAACTACTTCCAGAACTGAATTAAGTTTTTCATTTGCAAAATCTTCAATCCTTTTTGAAATGCTTGCCATAGGAAATAGCTTATTTGCTACCTGTTATTACCAAATGAGAAACAAAATGGTTAAAATCACATAAATGCATGTTTCATGCAAGCACAAACAATTAGGTCAATTACCAAGCGTATTGCCTTCATGCGGACCTCATCTAGATGATGGATTGAACTCTGCAAGAAAAACTTCTACTTAGAATCATAAAAAAGGAACAAGCTATACTTGAACCAGAAAAGTAGCACTAGAGTACCAGTCAACAAAACCAACATCAAGTCCTAACCAGTATATAAGTTTCATTCATTGGTAATTGCACGTTTGGAGTTCAATCTGACGCTTATGTCCATAAAAGGGAAATAGAGATGCAAAACATTACTCATATTTTGAGTGTTCAACTGTCCTGAACTCTTCCAAGACACATGAAACAACTAAAACTGACATCATGTCAAATGACTCTTGCATGCTCTACCACTGAATCAAAAATCAAAATAGAAAACTTTCTCATGCTACCACAGGTGGAGTTCCTGACAATCTCATGACAGTTTGTGACTCACAAAAATCATGTGAGAAGAGCTGCACATCTAAGCAAGCGTATCGCACATTTACACAAGGTGAGTAAATATGTCATGAAGTCAGTCTAGCACCTGCAAAGCGATCTCCAGACATCTGTCTCGATTTGAAGGTCTTAACATGATAAGGTTCCAGACAGCACTAAGTCCTTGAGTTACCCTATCACCACTCTGCAGATCCTTGTCCTGCTTCTCATTGCTTCCAGGAGAACATAAGCCCTCTAGCAACTTCAATACACCCTCTGGTAAGTATGGTATCTCACAAAGTAATTTTCCAAGTGATTTATCTGAAGCCGGAAACATATCGCGAAGATTTTCAGCCTACGCCAAATAAGAAGTGGTTGGACATGATGCAAGAAAAACAATACAGTGACAAAGTTAGAGATATCATAAGAAGACATACAACAGTCAGAAGAAACGATTCATAAACTGATGTTGCAGTTCTCGATGAAAGGAAGTCTTGATCCTGTTCTGCTTCACGATACAACCTGTTCAGAATGCACAGTGTCAGCTCGTGTCCCTGCTCAAGGAAAGATAGTCAGACCATTGTAAGGGGTAAACTGATTAAAGCATGTAATTAGATAAAGCAACAGAGTTACATGAAACATAATCTGGGTAAACATTTTGATATAATAAATAGATAATGATCATCGTCATAGGCTTGCTATATAAATAAGAATGGAGGGAGTAGTTTGGTAAACTAGAATGAAGATAAAAAATGTTGTGTCTAGTTAACTGGTCAAGATATTGGCTTGCTAGTTGAACCACATACCACAGATACAGCGCCAGCCCTACAACTAGAAGTTAAAAAAAGTGAAGCTGAACAAACATATTTTATTTCCATAAATACTTTGGCAATGGAGGTTGGGGATATGTTCTTGTAATTGTCATGGTAGTTGTCAAGTATGATCTTTCGCTGCCAGTCTACCAGATAGGTAGCATTCTGTGCAAAATCCGTAACGTTTAGCAAGGTAATTTGGTTTGAATCAAAGCCATGTGGTTGAACTGGATTTTTCTCCCAGTTCAGTCACCTAGGCAGGACTAAAAAGCTTTCAGTTCTCTCTTTTTTTTGGTATGGACTAAATCAGTTCCCATCCAACACTTGTGTTTATAATAGAGAATTGATACCAGTTGCACCCAGTGGACCCAAAAAAAAAACTGTACAGAAAAGAAATTCTATGATTTTGTACACCTGTACCTCATTATTTACATAATCAGACAGTACATGCTTCTGGAGAAGCTCCCAAGGGTCCAACTCCAAAGGGAACTGCACTATCAAGTAGCATAATGTAAAAGGAGTGTAACTATGACAAAATACAAGAAACTGAAGCATCATTGGTTTAAACATTGCAGGCACTATCAATTAATTGCTTCTGCAAAGAAACTGTCAATGGATAAATTAACCAAACAATGGTGCACACAAAAAACACTAACCGAATTGAAGCAAAAGAATATTACTCTAAAGGAGGCAATGTAACATGTACCTCAACACCCAAGTGAGCAAGCAAGGGAAGACGAGCTATTGAACCACCAGATGCATCTTGTTTATCACAATCAAGAATCCGCAAAAATGCTTCTTTTTGAAGTAGATCTTTAGCCTCATCGCTGAGATCAATATTAGTCACAACCAACTTTGGAAGCACATGCTGTGAAGTAAGTGTGCTTGAATATGAGAACTGAGTCTGACTTGCTTCCACCATAGAAGAGCTTGGACTACGAGTTTCTGAAGATTGAGCCAAACTAAGACCAGCTGAGGAATTATCAGCAGGCAATGAACTAATAAAACTGCCACCATGCTCTTGGGTTCCTTGAAGTTCTGTTGAAGCATGGGAAGCTTCTGATGATTCTTGAATCTCAATTGATAACCTAGCGGCATCTGCAGTGGGTTCTTTAGCCTCTATAGTTTCCATATCAGATGGAATTGATGAACTATTACTATTCTCCTCCATAGGTACATTTCTTGAGGTAGGTCCAGGAATGGCAGGAATTGCTGCAGTTTCACCAGCAGCAGATGGCACAACAGCAGAATCTATAGTTTGAGGTGCTTCATCGACCTCTCGATCATTTTGATTTATTCTCTGAAGACAAAGTTCAATAAACAAAAGTCAAAGAAGAAACTCTAATGAATCAATAAAATCTAGATAAAAAACCAACCTTCAATAAAGATTCTAACAGAGGAAAGCATGCTGAAAGAAGACTTGAACTCGGAGCACCAGATGGCTGGCCAGCTGAAGGAGATTGTTGTTGGTCTACTTCAGGATGAGAAACTGGCAGGTGTTGCATGTTAACCATTACCACCTCTGCTAATAAGTCAGCAGCAATACTGGATGACAGGATTTGCAGTGATCCAGCCGCTCTGTCACCTTGAGCGGCTAATGCAGCAAACATACTAACTAATTGATATACAGCTTCAGAATTTCCAGTACTTGCAGAGTTGGACGGGCTAGATGGGGTATCAGCAGAGGTTAGCTCCACATTATTCTTTACATTTTCAGTATGTTCTTGATCATGATGTGATTGCCTAATTCTTTTGTTGGAACGATCACCATCTTCTGGCGCATTATCGATGTCATCGATCAGATTACGCTTGTTACTGTTATCTGTGCTTGTTGTCTCCTATTAAAATTGGACCAAACTTAAGGGGTAAGAATATACAAGCATTGTAAATTTCCTATCATTATTCCCTTTATCCCTATTAATTTAAGAGAGCGATATTGGATATAGAGGTACAGTATATACCAGAGGCAATGATTCTACCCTGTTTGAAGAATGTTCTATCGAATCAGCCTGGTTGATAATATTTTGAGCTTCCAATAGGCGAGCTCGCCACTGCAAAATGGAAATTTCGGATTAAGTCATTTAGAAAATAGTAAAGAACATGCTATTGATAAAAGAATGTGTTCCATTGATAAAATATGAAGTTAGTAATCCCGACATCAGTATATGAAATGATATGCATGGGTAATTTGCACATTTTGATTGGTGCCCTCCTTTCATTGAGGCCAGCGGTTGTTTGTATCATAACCAATCATCCCTAGGAGTCCAGACAGGTGGACAATCTCCTCCCTCAAGCCTAATACAGCAGAACAAGGAAATAAAGCATGTACCCAGCCTAGGCTCACATGAACAGGATGCAAGGCGTACAGGAAATGAGCATGGTTCAGCAGAATAAGGAAATAAAGCATATATATCTCCCACATTGCCATGACACTACCAAATATGCTGCCTCCCAGGCTGCTAAAGCTGACACTAAAACCCCACATATGTTGAAGCTCATGCCTGATTTAGTGCTGCCTGACAAATTGCCACCGCCTAACAACTGCGTGATGTTATTGTCTCCCCAAGAAACCCCAGCTTGTTTACTGCCAAAGTCCAAACTCTCCAATATATGATGCTGGCACTGGTAATGAACTTATCTATTGGAATGTGGTTCCATCAATCAAGAAAGGCAATATGCAAAATAAAGAAAAGAACTCTGATATTCCCCGGGAGCTGGGAGTAATTGCTAATTTCGATTATATACGGTTAAAATGTCACAATGAAGGAACTTATTTTATGCTTAGTTTATGGTTAGAATGGTACAATAGACATAATTGGTTTAGTTTAGTTCTTTTTCACCACTCCCATAATACATGCATCCAACCAAAGTACTAAACCATACTCACTCATTCATCCTGCATCCACAATCTAACCGAACTAGTAACCAATCAAAAACATTGGCGCCTTCCAGGACAAATGAGACCAAAGATGTGATTAACTGAGCCCCATCTAGGAAACCCATAGGCACCTAAGCGACCTAACATGTGTATACAGTATGCAAAACTCTTGAGTACACTGACCAAATAAAAACAGCATAGCCTCTTACATAATAAATTAATTAACTACAGTTTTTAAGCACATAATGAAATAGGCACGGAGTGATACATGTGAAACCTGCCAGTAGAAAGAAAGGTTCACCGAGAAAAAGTTAACAGACAATATCAGATATTATGAATGCAACATTTATAAGTTATAAGTTACTAGTTGTACAAGCTAAAAGAAATACCGGCTCTGCACTTGAATGTGTACATTTCAGGCATGCAGCAAAGGCACTCTTCAAAGCATGGAAAGCACCTGGGACTTGCACTTTAATAATGGAACTTGCTGGATCCAAAGAAAGTAAAACTGGAAGTATGCGTCCGTAAAATGAAGGTCTTCTTTGCGCGATAGCTGAGAGGCTGAGGGAAATTCATGTTAGAGGATGAGGAAAAAATGGTAGAAGATAAAAATATAACATGGAAGAAACCTGCACTTTCTTCTACAAACAGAATGAATAAATGTTACAACATCCTCATACAGGAAATATATTTGTTCCAAGAATGGTAAGAAAGGTAATATATAGAAAAGACAGTGGAACACAAATGGATGAGACAAACCTAGTAACAAAGACAATGATCATGGAAGTACTGAGTGATTTTACTTTAGGAGGCTTAAGCTGTTCTAGCAGCAATCCAAGGTTCTGGCTGGCTTCCATTGCCAGATCTCCAACATTAAGCAAAGGGTGACCTCCTCTCAGCCACGCTACATTGAATCCCATATCTACAAAAGGATTTACAGATGACAGACCATCATGGCACAACTCCAAAATATTGGCAAATGTTTTTTTTTTTGGGGGGGGGGGGGGGGGTATGAAATGCCGTGTATGTTATACCTTCTGTAACTTCAATTGGTGGATCCGGTGGGGTATCAAGATCAGGGGTGTACAATAGAACTGTTTTTTCAACAAATTTAATAGCCAGTAACCTGGCTCCTTCATTGCTCATCGGCTATACAGCAGGTTACGCAGATGTAAGAAATGGCAGGAGGAGAGGATGAAATTGACCAGCCACGAGGAAAAAGATAGTGCCTTACCTGAAAGGCCATGTGTGACACAGCAGATTTAAGCTTGAGCAGTGCCTCCCAGGATAATTTTAATGAATCATCAATGCCACCACTTGAGAACAAGCCCTGATATCAAATCCGGCAAACCAGCGATGTTAGGCAAAGTTCACCCACACAGGCTGCTCGAAGAGCTTCTGATAAAATTACCTGAATAACTAGCTGTCGTAGTACTTTGGCAAACAAGGTTGTTCCTGTTTTAATAGCTTGCCTTGCGACCGCAGGTGTGTCATCGTTGAGAAGATGAAGCAGACAAGGCATGACATTGGGAAGGTATGCCATGTGTTTTGACCCAACCTCACCAATCATCCTATGTCGGGGTAGAATTGACATGCACATGTAGCAAAAAAACCATGAGCATATACGAGCACAGTGAAAAGCGTGGGCAGAGTATTATAATTTCTAATAGACGCTCTTATGAACAACAACACCTTGAGCGAGCAGGCTCGTGTACAGTATTGTTAATAACTAGCAAGCGCTAAATTATCATTTGTTACTGTTGGTGAGTGGTAAATAGAAGAGTGGAAACTTAGCATCGAATGTGTGTGGAAATAAAATTACAGAGTGACTCAACGTTGACACCTAAACCACACACAATCCAAATATAAAAACCTAGGACGGGAGGATGAAATTGGGAGGTCCAAGACCAAGAGGAGAAAGGGACACTGACTCGGCGACGAGCTTGCGGACGGGGCTGGCCTGATCGGCATGGAGGTCGGCGATGCGGGCGACGAAGTCGAGGAGCGGAACCCTGCGGAGCTGGCGGAGGCGCGGCTCCATGGAGGAAGGCAAAGGCGAGGGGTTGGGATGGAAGGTCGGCGGGAGGTCTTGGGCAGCGGCCACAGCCATCGGAACCCTAGCTCCTCCGCTCCGGCCGCCGGCGCTCACTCCGCCGTGCCGCCTGCGGATGGGTTGGGCTTTCCCTTTTCTTTTTTTTTTTAGAATAATATGAATATGGGATGGGTTGGAAAATGTAAATGGGCTTACGGTGGGAGGGATGTCATCTGGACTTAAATCATCAGATATATGGGCTCAAATTTGAGATGCACATGAAATAGGAAATAAGTCCACCTGTCATCCCTCAACTTTACGTCGAGTTTGCCAGAAATTTTCACCCTCCATCTTGACAAAACGGGCCCATCTCGCTGAGTCACCACTGACCGGGCCTATATGTCAGTGGATAACCTTTCTTCTTCCTCCAATCCTCCTCTCTCTCTCCTCTACTCCTATCACCCTCCATATGTAATTGCTACAGTATTTGAAACAATATATAAATGTAATGAGGCATTGAGGTGTGTATATAATGGATATATCAATATGGCCTTGTCCAAATTGTCACTAGCTTTATGCTGCGTCTTACAAAGTACAGCACGCACGCACATCAAATCTAGCTACATATCCTTCAATACATGTATGTATACTCCTATATATCCATGGAAAGAATTGTGACCTCCATATCTCCACACGGACACGCACATATATATCGATTGATCGGCGATATATATAGGTCTCTTTCTATCTGTCTGTGGATCGAATGTTGAATACATGTCCAGGTCAGTCGCAGCTATCTAATTAAGCTAATTTAAGCCTCCGGGCTTAAAAGAATTGAAGGAAATGTAAAATTAATTTAGTTAGCAGGGTCGGTCTGGTAGTAGACCACATCTCCGGTGTCGCTGACATAGTGGTCGCGTTTCAAGCTCCGGGACAGCGCTCCAAACAGGTGTAAGGGAAAAGGCCCAGACTTGTCCGGCTCCCTGTAGTATTTCCCCATCACACCCTTTGCTGCTTCCGTCTGCACATTTTCATCACCCATGCTTCTTAGTAATTACTCAGCACTACGTACTGATAAACATCACATAGCATAATTTAATTACTAGTACTCCGCATGCACTGCAGAGACTAGAGCTTACCGCCTCAATTAGATGGTAATGCGGGATTTGGGGGAAAAGATGGTGAATGACATGTGTCCCGATGTCGTGGTGGATGTTGTTGATCCACCCATAGTCCCTGTCCACTGTCGTCAGTCCTCCCCGCAAATAGCTCCATTCCTGTACATATCATCAATCTATTCAGTACAAAAGTGCAAAAGTGAGATTATTATTATTTGGATTTCCTTGAGTAATTCTCTGCCTACGAACATTTTCTAAAGAAAAAAAAAAGAAAAAAATTCACTGCCTCACAGTATGAATTCTGAAAACGATGCAGCTCTCTAGGAAAAAGATGCATGTATACAAAAGTTGTGATCCAACTTGCATTTGCATCATGGACCACAACGTATTGTGATTTTTTGTGGACAGAAGATCGCATCTTTGCATTATCATCTAGTTTCTATGACTCGTTTAATCACAGGCTCAGGTCAAAGTCCCTTCCTAAATTGACTATTTTTGACAAGGTAGTTATGCCTAATCTTTTTTTTTCTACGTACTGCAATCAATCGATTACTAGATCCAACGGCATAAATAAAAGTTGCAACCTAGCTTATTCATTCAGTGTGTGAGCCATGCATACATATATATTGCTTGATTTCTGAATATATTAAGCATGCATATAGTGTGAGCGAGTTTAATTAGAGAGAAGAAATGATGTATATATGCATGTCGTCTAATAGTAATTGATAGTAAAAAATGTTAGTAATTAGTTAAACGGACCTTGCCACGGTACCAGGGCAGCTTGTCGTTGTGGCCGTGATGGTGCAAGTAGGTGACGAAGTCCAGCCACATAACAAAAATCTGCAGAGAAGTAGAATTGAAATACAAACTGATGAGAAAAGAAAGCAAGGTAGGTTTTGTTCCCCACATCCACAAAAGAGGAGATCGAGGGCAGGCAGAGGATAGAGGAACCCAATCCACAGATCACATCAATGAACCAACGTATGTATGTAGGGGGTAACTACGTACCCAGTAAGGGACAAAGTAGAGGTTGAGCATGAGGAGGGGTCCCATGAGGAAGGTGAGGCCTGCGAGGAGGGCAGCCATGGCCACCCAGCACGCTGTGGATGTCAGCACATCGTTCCTTTCGTTGGGCTGGAACAGGTCGCTGCTGGGATGGAAATGCGAACCAGACTTTCCTGGGCTCCGAGACCACTGCATGCATGCAATATATCCATCCATTCATCATCGTCTTAATCATCACATCACATATAAATATATATAATGGAATAATGAACGTAGAGTACATTGTTATGCTAGTAATATTAGTAGAGTACTAGAGTAGCAATTAATTAACCAGGTAGAATGGGTAGGCGAGCATGGGGAAGGGTATGGAGAAGCGGAGCATCCGGGTGGCTCTGTTAAGGCTCCTGTACAGCCGCTCGGGGAGCTGCATTTTGGATTGGATTGATCAGATTCATTTGCAATGGGGAAACCCAACTGGAGTAGTTGCAATTAAGTAGTGAAATCGAGAAGGAAGGAAGGAATGCGTACGGGATGCCAGGACTCATCCTTGTCGACATGGCCATGGTTCTGATGATGCGTCCTGTGGCTAATCCTCCAGCCATGGTAGGGTACGAGGATGGAGGAGTGGAGTATGTGGCCCATCACGCTGTTGAGCCTCGAGTTGTTGGAGAAGCTCCCGTGCCCGCTGCAATTCCAATTCCATGAACGAATTAATTACTACTAGTGTAGTAGAGTGGAGTAGGAATCAAAATGGAAATGAATACCGTCGTACCAGTCGTGGCCGAGGACGAAGAGCGCCCAGAACATGGTTCCCTGCGCCGCCCAGTAGAGCGGCCAGGCGAGGCAGCTGTGGAGGCGCGCGGCGGCGGCAGCGAGGGCGAACACCACCACCACGTCGCGCAGCACGTACCCCATGGATCGCCAGGGGTCCTTCACCCAACAGTGCTTGGGGATAGCGGCGCGGATGTCGGCCAGACCAAACGGGGGCGCCGCGCCCGGGTCGAAGTCCTCACAAGGAGGAGGAGGAGCATTATTTTCATTGTCGTCCTCCTCCACGGTGGCCACGCGGCTGGTGGGTGCGGCCACACGGAGGCGGAGGCGGACATTCCCAAGTGGGAGCGCAAATGCAATGGCGCGACGGCGGCAGGGGAGGAGGGGGAGCGGCGCGACGCCGGAGAGTAGCAGCCGGGCCATTCTTTCCTTGGTTGGTTCTACTCCAATTGGTATTGGTAAGCTGCGCGGCGCCGCCCCCGCCTGGGTTTATCAACGCAAAAAGGAAAGGAAAACCCAACTGGGTTGCCGGCCCTATCTATCTATCTATCTATCCATCTGTCCGTATCCCACTTTTGGGAACTCGTCGGCAAACCTCAGCCTTCCCTCCACTCCATCCAATACCTCATCACCTTCCAAACCACCCCACCCGTTACACTCCCAACCACAAACTACTCACATCCCCATTTCTCTTCCCAAAACTACCTTCCACTCTTCCTACATACTAGTATATCATTACATTCTGCTGTAATACAACATATTACTATCTTTCTTTCTTTCAAAAAAAAAAGAGAGAGAGAAACATTACATTCTCGTGTAGTACAACATGACCCTAAAGCTAACGTGTGTATAAACGACCACCGCGACAAGCTCGGAGAAATATGTACCACAAACGAATTATATATATATATATATATATATATATATATATATATATATATATGTAGTGCATACCTAAAAATGATAAAACAAATTGACGTATAAGATTTATCCACATCACCACAAATAAAACTTTTACTCGTGATGACATGGACAAATCTCTCACATTCACTTCATAATCAGACAGTTTGTCTTACATATAAAGTTTGCGCTACATATTTCCCCAAGGCTCCCCTCCTACTAATATTATACACAACACCACCAGATGGCACACAATGAATATGAATCAATGGCAATCAGCAATCAGTACATGTAAATGTCATGCCTGGATTGGACCTACTTGATTTGTGTAGGACGCAGCATATACAAACACAACAACGTTAATTATAGCTTCCACCATTTCTTGTTCTCCATTGATTTCGCAAGCTCCTGGGCCAGGGAAGCAAAATTCTCTGCTCCACTCTCAAGCTCCGCGGTTCGTTGGCTTATTCTCTGGTAAACCAATGATGAGCTAGTTAGTAGTATTCATCAACGTTTTCTTAATATACTCCATAAAAACCACAACTTCAAATATCGGTGCCTAACGTATATGAAGGTCTAGGCTAGGGGTGACACCAATGGAAAAGGTGCAAAGCACAAAGTATTGAAATGTACTCTCTCACCTCTAGTTTCTCCTGTCGCTGCATGAGCTTATCTTTTGCATGAGCAGCCGCCGCCGCCGCATCCTGCAATGAGATATAGATTTGGGTTAGCTTAGGTACACACATAGGAACCATGATTAGAACCACAGTTTTGAAATGGAATTACCCCGCCAAACTTATATTTGGTGAGAATTTCTTGGTGAGTTCTCATTCTTGGCATTTCAACATTGCTTGATCCTTCAAATAGCTTTGCTCTCTCCTCCTCAGCTGCAAACATAAACGTGCATAGTTGACGACAAGTGTACCTCTTAAAAAGTCAAACAACTATATGCCCAACTGACCTGTTGTTTTTTTATTCACATGAGATGTAGATGATGCTGGTGGGGGTGCTAGTGGAATTTCATCATCGATATCTATGTCGTCTGCATTCAAATGCTTTCAAATAAATAGGCAGTACTTAAGGGCAAATGCTTTCAGATAGACAGGGAGGAAGATGACCTATTGACAGTTCTTCTATGGGGTCGTCAGGATCGGGTATTGATGGTTCAACAAGTGATTCTTTCAAGAAAATCGATTCCAACTGTTCGCTCATGGTTTGTGCACTTAAACTTCCTTTCTGTTTTGCATTTTCTTCTTTGCCTTTCAATCCTTTAATGATGCCACCAAGAATTCCTCCTGCTGGAGTCTACAGATGAATTTTCATTGTCATGCCAAATTGTACACAGGTGATGATGATACATAGAAGATCTAACAAGGCCAAACCTGGTTTCTTTTCTGGTCCATTGAGGCATTAATAGCTGCTTCAGCAGCTGCTGCAAGTACTTTGTCATGAAGGCATGGCATTGACTCTGGAAGCCTAAAATGATAATTGTGAATGCCAAAATATCAGTGCATGGTCATATGTCGGGACTATGCTTCTTAACCTAAATAGCAGATCGAACTGAAACAGGAAAAAAAAACTACACAGAAGACATGCCAGAAAAGCCAAGTACCTGAAGGCATTCTCTGAGGCTATAAGAGAGATGATTGCAAGTTCAGACCCGTTTACCTGTGGCAGAGGGAAGATCAGAATAAAAAATGATGGATTTCTTCCCCGAACATTTCCCACTGGATCAAGGATGATTAGTGGATTGTGAAAAAAAGGTGTATTGTGCGCTAATGCATTAGTTACATTCGCATGTACTGTGGCCACACTATGTAACATTGTAATAGGTAGATGGACCTGGAGATTCTAAATTAAATCTTGAGTTTCCTATTAAAGATGGAATTGATTAGAGGTGACTTTTACTAGCGAAAGTCAACTTCAACTGTTCTTGCCAGTTGGCACGGTGAGCATGCGCTCAAATATAAACGTTCCAGAAACAACAGAAAAAAGGAATCAACAAACATCTGGCGATATGTGACACCAAAGTTCAATGTATTATTTGGCATAAACCAACCGAACCCTTAGGACCAATTTACAGCTCAAAGCAAAACGATTTACCAGAGCAATCTGTCCATTTGCGGAGCTCATAGATTTCTCCATGCCTGCCTTGTAACTCCACCTTGATAACGACATTAAGGAGCTTTCAGCAAGAATAGCCAGCTCTGGCAGAGATCTGCTCATGATAAAAGTAAGATAATTATTTTTCAACAAAAATTACCAGGCTCTTGCATTGATGTATGCATACATGCTCGCAGTGAAGATCACATCACTCAGGCATAGTATGGGAGGGCCCAATACCAACAACGAAAATGAACTGGTCTTGGTGAGGATTGGGCTGGGACAGCCAGGATTGGACCTCCCAATTAAGGACTTACAGAACTTTCCAGATTAAAACTTAAGAATATGGTCTAGATTTAAAACAATAATTTATGACTCTCTTTCCTTTCATATAACTAAACCATATTCCCATGAGATCTATACTAACATTTCTCCTTTCTTACCTACACTACAATTCTCAGATTTTACTTGTAGTATTTGAGGTGGACAATCAAAGCTGTAGTTAGTCATGTTTCCTGACTTGAGGAATGCGCTCTAGTATAAAGAGAAAGGCACATTCTCTCCAACAATACATTGATCATACACACTATAAGTTTATCCATATACTATTAAAATTATACTAAAAAGTCAAAATATCAAAAATCTTCATAAAATTCAGCATGCCAAAAATTGTCATAAAAACAAACTAAGATCCTGTATATGGTGTGAAAAAAGAACAGGGAAATCGGCAAAAGTCAGAGTTACCTCAGTTCTATTGCGCCCGTTTGATAAACTAATATAAATCCACAAGCTTTACCATCTATATTTGTGAGAACTGCTGACCAGCAGCAGTGCTTCGCAAGTTTGATCCTATGTAGAGGCTTGTTACTTCCCTGATGTTGAAAAGAGCATCACAGGTAAGCTATGGAAGTTTGCAATTTCAATAAAACAGTTGATATAACCAAGTATGAACCTGAATCAGCGATGGCAGAGAAAATAAAAGAACCAGGTCCTCACAGCAAACCAAAAGAAATGAATCTGAACCACCACTGTGCGAAGGTTGCCGAGTATTTTTCTGGCTCTTATCAACTGTGTGTGTTTGTTTTTTGTCCAGAACACTTTCCTCTTTTGCAATATGACCTTGACTTGGGAATTTGTCTTCTGATAATTGGTTCTGTTCCTCCTCTGACGTTCCATCTAAATCCAAAACTTAAGAAAGTTATGTATTGATTTAAAGGAGAAAGAAGGCGACCACCACCTTAAAGAATTGAATAGTAATCACTTGCCTATGACATACATGGAAATTGCAGATAGCTGCTTCTGATCTAACACACATGAATTTATTGTCAGACCATTCATGCTGTCATGTACAGTAAAATGTCCATCCTTAGTCAAGGAAAGTAGAACATTTGCAGGGGACTTTGCACTTTGAAGACTCTCCTTTTGTTGCTCGTTTGCCTTTGCGGCAGATGTAACCACATTGTAATTGCTCAATGAAACAACAGGAGAATTTGTTCCTGATGCACAGTCCACAGTGAACATAATTGAAAGTTGATTGGCATCAAAACTTGCCAGCTTTCAGAAAACAAGCCAGAAAACAATAATTATTAGTTAATAGTAACAGCTGATCAACACAAGGTTTAAATCTTTGAGACAAAATGTATTACAAAATAAGTAGTAGATTATACCTGACCGTTTTGATATCCCACTGCAAGGACCTCCCCCGAAGCTGTAAATCTGAGAGACCTCACAGGGGAATTTGAGGCCAGAAAGGCAACATGACAATGAAATCCTCTCCCATGTTGAACAACATGAACTGTGAGAAAAATCACATGAGACACTCGTTAAGGAAGATGAAATGGATCACACATTCACAGGGGAAAAAACTATAGTGATTCCAAGCAGACATACTACAGACCTGCCTACCATTTTAAGCACAAGTACAAATATTTGAACCACAGCAAAAATCAACATGAATAGGTTCGATCAATTTAAGGCATGACTGCTAATGCACAAGGCGGAAGTTTTTTTTAATCATGATCAGTATTCTATTTATTTATTTATTTTAAAAAAAGCATTCAGACTGACTAAAGCTAGGATCTCTTGTCCACCATACGCTTCTCATTTGCAAAAGAAGCATGGTATGACCTCTGCTTGACAGACTATCTTATGAGGTAGACGTGTTTTTTATGTGTTTTGAAAAATAAAGGACAATTAGCATAAACTTATCTTGGTAAAAATCTGGCAGCAGTATGTGCATATGGAAGAGATGATCACGCACAAGAAAAAAGAAACACATGCAAATAGGACTTCTATGAAATGTATACCTTCCTGCTTAGATTCACTCACAAAATGAAAGCTTGAACCTCCAGTGTGTTCACGAAGCTTATAGATGCGAACCTACAATAACATAAGAGATACTGAATTTGAATATACTGTCAGCATTCAATAACCAACCAATTGGACTGATCTGTAAAATAAAGATCTGATCTAACCAGACCACTTGTTGTGCCAACAGCCAATGTCATGTTTAATGAGCAAAAAGCAAGTGATGATACAGCGGAATTTTCTCCATCCATATTTACACCAACCACCTGTGGTAAATAGTAATAACTTGCATGAGTTAACATGTTAGTTATTTGTCAACAGGGAACAACACAAGCAATAACACAGCACAACTGACCTTTCCATCCAAGACAAACATTGGCGTCAGAACTGGAAAGGTTGCATCCCATATTCTCACAGAACTATCTTGATACCCTGCAATGTATATTCTTTCCACGGTGTAATTCTCGTTCATTGACATTTCACTAGGAACTCCACCAGTCAAACGCCATTTCATGTTCCGTTGCATGAAAGGTGCGGCATTTTGCTTAACAACAAATTTCTACAGAAAAAGCCGTACAGATGTGATCTAATAAAAGCCACACGATGAAGTCTTATTAGGTTAAAGTATCCAAAATAAATGCATAATTGTACCTTAAGTGGAATACTTTGAGATTCCCTTCCATTTAGTGAATAAAGATTAGTGACTGTTATGTTGGGATCAGTTGTTGGAACTGTGACTGGAAATTTTTGTGCTTCAATCTGAGCTTTTCCCTCTTCTGATTTTGGAACAGAAAATAGAGCACCACCATCATAAAAATTCAATTGCCCAGGATTTGTCAAAATGAAAACTGCAGATGTTCGGCTTTTATACGGAAACCCGCTATCTGAAATTAAAATCATATCAGCAAAGGACCCATCAAGTCTGAGATCCATTCGTGACATACATCTTGTTGACTCTAATCCAGTAGTTGATTCCAGGCTTAGAACCTGCAAGAAAATACAAGGTCTGGTTTTTTAAATGCAAGAAAATTGTTTTAAAAATTAAAGTAGCAGGCAAAGGATCCAAAAATAAACTACATTTGAGTTCACTTGAGGATAAATAAATTGCGCACATCCATGCCTATAAAATAGCAGGGAGAAAAAGAACAACAGGAACAAAGGAAAACGAAACAAGGGACAAACCGTCAGAACTTCCTCGGAACCCATATCATCACCACCATATACAAAGAGATGCCCTCCTTTGTTAGAATCAGCAGAACGAGAAGACCAGTGTAATACAATAACAGGAAGCCTACGACTACCAGAAGCCAGCTGAAGTTTAACAACATTAGATGGTTCATCACTTCTATTGTCTTGTTTAGAGGATCTTGCAGTCATATCCCACAGAAGAATGTCTCCAGTTATATAACCAACAGCAACAGTTGAACCTCCTTGCGATGCCCAACAAAGGGAGCAAATTTCTCTCTCTTCTTCTGCGCTGATATTATTGTCTTCATCTTCACCAGCATCCCTCTGTGCACCTGTGATTTGATTCTTCATGTGCAAATCACCATAGCCTCTAACCGAAATAGCACGATCCTCTGATACATCCCAAAGAACTAATAGTCCTTTCTCATATGCAATCAGCACCCTGAAACATTTAAAACAGTTTATTTTATGTATTCCAGATTGGCAAAATGAATTGATCCAGCCTCGCATGGGAGTAAAGGAATGAAATAAAGCTACAGTGCATATTTCAAACTATCTGCTTCAAATGTGTGTGTGTGTGTGTTTTTTACTTGGCACTTTTTTTCAGAACATATGGTTCTGTAATTTGTCATTCCTGAAATGTTTTCATGCTAACAAGTAATAAAAAGTCAAAAAGAGAAGTGAGGTTATTTCTTATACCTAATTCATACTATCTTGATGTTTGTTAACAAAAAGGAAATGACACTAACCAGATGTGGTTGAGTATTGACCATAAGAAGACCTTACCTGGTCCCAAAGGTATCAGGCTGCGGCAGTATTCCAACAATAGATTGAGGATCCTCTAAGGAAACGCAAGCTGCTTCTGTGAAGAAATTAAACCAAAAATGTCAATAAGTGCAAACTATGTTAAGACGATTCACTGAAAAGGTGTCAGTAAATGATTTGGACCAGCTAATCGGTGAACTCAATTGGGCATACTATGCAGATAACAAGTGCTTCTGGTAATCCAGATGAAGAACAACGCAAAATTGCAAGAAAGCATGAACAAAAATGCCTGTGCTCGCAGTAAATAAGATTATTTATTTACACAGGTGGGCCCAAGGTCAAATATTTCTATGGAAGGTTCAAACTTTAGTGTAATATATTATGATCTTGTTTGCTCAGGATTAGAGTTTTGTGCATAGTTACCAATAGAAGCAAATTGTATAACAGCTAAGCCATCTATATATGATGGTGTAAAATTAACACAAACACTTATTGACAAAGACACAAAAGGGACAATTGCATACCAGCTAAGGAATGTATCGGAACATTGTAGGGCATCTTTTGAAGTTTCCCATCATCAACGTCATACTTCAGTACCGAAAGCAGGCCATTCTCATCTCCAAGGTACCTGAATGCAGCAAAAGGATTTAGCATACAAGAAAAGGCTACAAACTACTCCAACAGGTACACTGGCCTAATAAACTAAAGCGGTGGGGAAGACAAGTTTCCATATATATAGCTCACATCAGAAATGTCCCCTCTACAACTGCAAAAGCAGTTATATTGATGTCCCACTTCGAAGAATAAAATAGTTGTCTGAACTCAAGATTCCATACCTACAAGATACACATGTATTATATGCAAACAGTCCCTAGCACTGGCAACATTCTTGTGAAATGAGGATAGAGTAACAATATATGATTCAAGTAAGCATAACTAAACAAAAACAGATAGGATGCTTGCAAACTTGAAGAGTTAGGCAACAATTGACATCCTTATTAAGTGAAACAACAGCACACATGTATTATATAAGAAGAATTAATTTGAGCAAAAGAATTATATGTGAATTGCTCACGGCACTACCTGGATTTCATTCTCATTAGAGATGGCAATCAGAAACCCCTGGTTCTGTATAAACTGCAAAAGAGAAATGTATTAGTTTGTTCTTTGGCAATTGCAACAGGAACAAGTAGTTATGAATCAATGCAGACAGTTAGTTTAACATAGTAAGTAGCAGACATGAAGTAGAATGAAGACTAAAAGGGCAGAGCACGGCCACAAAATTTAAGAAAAAGGCTGCAGCATGCAAGCACAAGAAAAAAAAAACAGTTATCCAAAAATTCCGCAGAGCTTTGCTGTCCTGGTAGTTCCAAAAAGAAGAAAAAAATCCTAAAATTCCGCTGTTGAAAGAAGAAAAAGCGTGGGCACATTTGATTTGGCAGAGCTGTTAGTTGAGAGATATGCATGGGCAAACCTGCAAAAACTTGTATGGGAGACTGTTGGGTGATATAAGGAGGCCCTCGATGTTATCGCCTCCAAAGATTTTAATCCTACCGTCCCTGCAATTTGAGGTAGAGAAAAAGGCTATGATCAGCATATATAGATTTATAGCGAAGAAGAAATAACTTTAACAAGGAGAGCAGTAATAAAAAAAAAAGTCTAGTCGAGGACTGAATCCATGAATGAAGGTTGAGTATGAGAAGGCAGAAGAAGAGGAACGGACAGTGTGGCGAGGGCGAGGAGGCGCTGGACGGGGTCAAAGGCGAGGAGCGATGCGGTGTACGGGATGCCGTAGTGAAGGGCGATCTGCGCGTCCATCTGTGCCACATCTACATGAGTTCCTCCCTCTCCCTGCAGCAAAACAGCAAATAAAGAGGAGGAAGAAATTAATATTAATTGAGAATCCAAAGCAAGCAAAGCGCAGCTGTTGGCTGTTGGATCGGAGCGAGGTAGCACCTGATGAAGAGCCTTGTGGAGGAGGCGCTTCATCTCATCGGAGAGCAGAGCAGAGATGGATTAACTTGCCGGCGACGGCGACGGCGACGACTGACAGGCAAGCAGCAGACTGACCGCTTCTTCTCCCAACTCCCTTTCTTCTCTCTCTTGTGTGGGGACGGAGAAGAGAAGAGGCGGGTGGAACGGGCCGTGATCGGCCCAATAAAAAGAAAGCCCAAAAAACATCCGGCCCGCGCCCTCGGCCTCGATGAAATCGATCTTTGGTTTCCGAGAGGATTGATTCGTAACCGATTCCAACTTCAACACCCAACAAACCCGGCGGCCGCGAACAAATCTCTCGCGCTCCTCCTCCTCTGCCGCCGCGGAACAACAAGAAGAAGAATCATGGTCGAGCATATGGATTGGCAGCCGGTGACCACCCTCGGCCCCAATTTCTCGCCGGAGCTGCATAGCCTGCTCCTCTCCGACCACCGCGCGTCCTTGCTCTCCCTCCTCCGCCGCCAGGACGACGAGCTCCGGACCAAGATCAAGAACCACCTCCTCGCGCTCGGATGGACCATCGCCTCCAAGCCCAAGCCCCCTGGCCTTGCGCCCAGGCTCCGCTACGTCTCCCCCGCCGGAACCAAGTCCTACTACTCCCTCCGCCGCCTCATCCAGACCATCCACCTCCACCACCATCCTACCCAATCCCAATCCCAATCTCAATCTGATTCTTGCGGTTGCGGAGATACCCCTCTTCTTCTTGAGGAATCTGATGACGACCAATACCAAGAACAACAAGAAGATGATGCCATCGCGGGGTACGTTGCCTTCATGGAGGAGCAGAATGCCAGGCGCGACCGCGGGCAGGGAAATGATGAGGAGCAGAGGTCCATGGCCAAGGAGCTTCGGATCAAGGCTAAGGATCAGCTCAGGTCGTCGGGATGGACATTCTCCATGAAGGTCAAGTACAACGGCCGCGAGGAGCTGCGCTACACAGAGCCTCGTGGCCGCTCCCACATCTCCCTCATCACCGCCTGCAAGGCCTACCTTCTTCACCACACGCCGTCGACGACAATGGCTTCATGCAGCAACAACAACAACAAGAGACCAGCGCCACCCGCTGCCTGCAAGACTGCCACTTCTAGCAAGAAGAACAAGAAGAAGAAGGCGAGCCTGCAGCAGGCGCGCGTTCTGCGTCCACAGCCAAGAAACGAGGAGGGGAATGCGCTGACGACGGCGCGCGCGAGGACGCTGCTGTCATTGCTGATCGACAAGAAGATCCTGGCGCCGAGGGACCAGCTCATCTACACCACGAAGCGAGGGCTCATCACCGGAGACGGCATGGTGAAATGCATGTGCGGCGGCTGCATCAACAACAACAACAAGAGGAGGGTAGCAGAGTACACGGTGGCCGAGTTCGCGGTGCACGGCGACGGCGATGTCGCCTCTTCCTCGTCACGGCAGCCTTGGGCGCGCATGTTTGTGGGTGACGGCAGGTCACTGTCGCAGTGCCTGGTGCAGCTGATGATGGCGGACGACGAGGCGGGCTCCGGCAGGAAGAAGAAGAAGAAGAAGTATTTGCCGTATGTGTGGCGTGGTGCAAGGGTGAAGCGGAAATGGGAGGAGGACGACGACTACGTGTGCTCCGTGTGCCACGACTGCGGCGAGCTGCTCATGTGCGACCGCTGTCCGTCCATGTTCCACCATGCCTGCGTGGGTTTGGAGTCCACTCCGCAGGGCGACTGGTTCTGCCCGGCCTGCACCTGCGCCATCTGCGGCTCCAGCGACTTGGACGATCCACCAGCTACCACCACCACCCAAGGATTCAGCAGCGACAGGATGGTCATCTCCTGCGAGCAGTGCCGACGAGAGTGTAAGTCACTCGATCACTCACTAAATCATCATTTTGCATTTTTAGTTAGCTGCTGATGATTGATGGAGAATTTTCAAATGGATGAGTTGATCTCAGATCATGTTGGGTGCATGCGAGAGAGAGACAATGGGTTGTGGTATCCAGAGGCGGATGGAGAGGGGCCATGGTTGTGCAGTGAGGCCTGCTCAAAGATATACCTGCGCCTCGAGGAGCTCGCTGTCGTCCAAGCCCCTTGTCGTTCAGTTGCTTCGGGCTTGTCATTGGTGGTGTTGAGACGCGGTGCAGCGAGAGACGGAGAGGAGGAGGAGCACGCCAAGCTGTGCATGGCCTTGGATGTGCTCCGCGAGTGTTTCGTCACCCTCATCGAGCCTCGCACGCAGACCGACCTCACTGCCGACATCGTCTTCAACACAGAGTACGCCCGCAATATATAATTAAGCTCTAATAAAGCTCCAACTGTTTAACTGCAAAAAGAAAAAAAGTCAATTGATTATCAATGGGTCAATTAATTGTTGGCTACTCTATATATGGATGCAGATCGGAGCTGAGACGGCTAGATTTCCGGGGGTTTTACGTGGTAGGACTGGAGAAAGCCGGCGAGCTTATAGCCGTGGCTACACTGAGGTAAGTAATAATATAATGTGTGTGTGTATCCATCTGCGTTCCTGGCTGGCTTCCATGTATGATCAAATCTCAACTATAGTCGATCAGGTACTAGGAATTAACAATAAGCTGTTTGTTTGCGTCGTATATATGTGCAGAGTGTATGGAGAGGAAGTTGCAGAAGTGCCGCTGGTAGGGACTAGATTCGCGCGTCGTCGGCAAGGGATGTGCCGCCTTCTCATGGATGAGATACAAAAGGTACGTACTCTCTACTAGCTAGCTTAATGATCAATCATCGAGTTATTAATCGATCTATCGTTATTAATCTTACATGCATATATTCGATGATGCATGCGTATGCAGTTGCTTGGTGAGATGGGGGTGGAGAGGCTTGTGCTGCCGGCGGTGCCGGAGATGGTGGCGACATGGACGGGACCATCATTTGGGTTCAGAGAGATGGGGCAGGCTGACAGGCAGGATGTAGCACACCATGCCATCCTCCGCTTCCAGGGAACCATCATGTGCCACAAGCAGCTACCTCCTCAACCTCAACCTCAACCTCAACTTGGGCACACAACGACGACCCCAGCAGGAAGAATTCCAAGTCCAATACCATTGTAAGCTGAGCTGATGCGTGTCTCTTCCTGCTCGACCATTCCATGTTTTGCCTTGTATTGTTGTATTGGCTGCATCAAGGAAGGGAGGAAAGAGGGTGAGGCAGTGCTCCTGCGCTGCATGTACTGTGTGTACATTATACTACTGTACTAATCAGTCCATTTTCGTGTTGCCTGTTTTGTATTGCTAGTTATTATTATTACTCCAACCTTCACATAATAAGTTTACTTTTGTATATGAATCTGGATGAATGCTATATTCAGATCCATATATAAGAGTGAACTTATTTTAGTAGCATCACACATTTGGTGTAGTTTTTTTTTTGAAGCACACATCTGGTGTAGTTTGTAGAATAAAAATTGAAAATATACATTTTTCCTAACTTTTTACAATTATATACGTGTTTTCGAAAGAATTATTAAAATATATGTGTACCGCGGTATGAACGTGCGGGACCAATTCGTTGGCGCGGAGCGGATGCGCGGGACCGTCGGTCCCGCGGCTTGGCTGCGCGCGACCGCGCTGTCCCGCAGGCCGGCGCTGCGCCACCTCGCGGTTCCACAGCAGGGACATGCGCGACCCGTTACAGCCAACTGAAATCTGCACAGATTCTGCACATATTCGATTACATGCGCACGTATATATGCAGTGCATGCAGGGTATATATGCAGTGCGTGCAGTGCGTGCGCTCTGTTCCTGGATTCGGTCGCGCGCTGCCGTGCAGCGGAACCGCGCGGTGGCGCGGCGGCGGCCTGCGGGACCGCGCGGTCGCGCGCAGCCAAGCCGCAGGACCGGCGGTCCCGCGCAGGCAAGCCGCGCCGACAAATCGGTCGCGCATGTCCATACCGCAGTATGCGTATATTTTTATAAATCTTTCAAAAGCACGTATATAATTATAAAAAGTTAGGAAAAAACATATATTTTTAATTTTTATTCGTAGTTTGTACGCTTATTCCGGATGAATATGTGAAGGCCTAGTCGTTTACATATCTCACATGAGACGAGCAAAACAGCAACATCTCTGTGGCCCATTTATTGTTTGGTATCCCAGGAAGCCCAACGGAATACTCCAGTGGAGTAGTCGCATAATAATTTAATTTATTCAGTCAACGACTTCTTCAATATCCCAGATACTATACTGCACTACATACGCATCATTGTCCACTCATCAGTCAATATATATTTTATTCATACTGATCATCGACCCAGGTAGTAGTTGTGCTGGTTCTGTAATGGCAATGCTGTCAGGGTTACAGATACCACATATCTAATAGTAGTTGACTAAATCTCGGTAGGACCCACCACATACCATATCCTATACGGAAACAACCTTCGGATATAGAAGTAGTTCCGCATAAGGAAGGATAACCAGAGTTCTACATGGAAACGACAAGTACTACTCGGATTGTATCCATATTGGTTTCTCTAGTTCTACTTGAACAAAGGGACACCTATGGGTATAAATATAAGACCCCTTAGGAAAAGAGGGGAAACACCCACCACAATCTTCATAGCAATAGATCAAGACAGAATATCAACATACAAGCCAACATACGCCAAGACAAGACGCCGGATATCGACTTTAGAGATAGGCACGGCTAGTTCCCTACGGTGTCTCCGGATACTAATAGGAGAGACATTGCGTTGTCTCTGATCTCATCGGGCACGGATTCGAGAAGGAAGACTACCCTGTTGTCGACTACGAGTCATACCTTCAGACCGCCATGTCGACAACAGTTAGATAGACTACCCCAAATATTGTACTGGTGTGATATGGTAAATAAGATCAACGACCGGCTTTGGTCAACAGGATGTAGGGTTATTACCTGACAATTCAGGGACCTGAACCTATATAAAAATCCTCGTCGTCTCCGTCTCTTTTATCTCAGTCTCACGTATATCCTAGTACCAACAATTCTCATACCATGCAAATAACAGAATTGCGACATCCAACATCGACAAATGCTAATCAAGTATTTATAGTCATTATCATCACTAGAAAGTGAAGTGCACGCACGGTAACTGGAGAGTTTATGATGTCACTCGAGTGCTGCCTCTTACTGATCCTGTGATCCAGGCTTGGTAGTTGTACTTTGCATAGCACTGCACTGCATTGCAGGTGCAGTGGATTAAGTGCTTTGCTTATGTTTTCCTGTCATCATGATGCACGCGTGCATTGCTATTTACTACCGTAACAGTGATTTTTCTCATTTTGTGTGTGGAACAAGGCAGTGATTAAGGGCCTATTTAGTTCCAAAACAAGAATTTTCACGCCGTCACATCGAATATTTTACATATACATAAAGTATTAAGTGTAGAGAAAAAACTAATTATACAGATTACGTGTAAATTGCGAGACGAATCTTTCAAGCCTAATTGCGCCATGATTTGACAATGTTGTGTTACAGTAAATATTTGCTAATGACAGATTAATTAGGCTTAATAAATTCGTCTCGCAGTTTCCTGGCGGAATCTATAATTTGTTTTGTTTTTAGACTACGTTTAATACTTTAAATGTGTGTCTGTATATCCGATGTGACAACCAAACCCAAAAAAATTCCCCAACTAAAACAGGCCTAAGAAACTACTAATGCTCCCTCCGTCTATAAAAAACAAATCTCGAAACACATTACTTAGACGGGAGGGAATACTCCGCTAGAATCCGTTGATTTCGTTTGAGCCATAGTAAGAAAGAGGAGATTCCTCTCGTTCTCCGTGTGCACATTCCCGAACTGCTAAACAGTGTGTTTTTTACAATAATTTTATATTTAAAAATTGCTTTAAAAATTATATTAATCTATTTGTAATTTAAAAATAGTTAATACTCAATTAATCATACGCTAATACCTTATCTTATTTTGCGTATCTTGCTGGTATCTGTCCTTTCTCTTTCTCTCAAACAGAGACTTAACCGGGGCGAGCGGCAATACGACGTACTGCTAGTACGAGTAGTAACTATGTAGAGGTACAGTAGATGATGGAAGGTGTCGGTCCGGTCGGCCGTTAATTAATATACTTATACGTACTCCGTACAACTACTAATTGGATTTAAATAAGGAAAAATGAAAACGAGAGAAGAGTGGGGATTTGGGGGGCACAAGCACTACACATGGGTACATACAATACATGAAGAAGAAGAAGAATGGAATGGGCGCTGCCGCTGACCGTGGCCGGCTTCTCGCTCTTGCTCACCACGACAAATTAAACCCAACCAAGCCAAGCGAAGCGCAGAGAAGATTCAAACCATCCATCCTTCTTCTTCTTGGAAGCAGCCTTCCTAGGCTTGTTCCTCCTCTCCCCTCTTCCTTCCTTCCTGTAGTAATTAAGCAAACCGAATTCCATCAGCGCTGGCTCGTTGGCGATCTGAATCCTCCTCCTCCTCCTTGTCACCTCCTTCCGATTCAGGGGCAGGGGCAGATGCAGATGCAGCAGCGGCGGAAGCCACCGCCTGCGGCGGCGCCGGTGGCCGCCAAGCAGCCTTCCCCGCGCAGGACGCCCGGGCCTCTCTCCTTCGCCGGCGCCCTGCTCTCCCTCCTCGTCGTCGCCACCTTCCTCTACATCAACGACCACGGCAACATGATGCCACCCCACGCGTCCCCCGACCCCGACCTCCGCCTCCTGCAGGAGGCCGCGCACCAAAAGGTCAACTCCATCCTCCTCTCCCGCCACGCCCCTGCCCCTCCCCCGCGCACCAACACCAACACGTCTTCATCCGACCAACACCTCCGCCTCATCAACATCCCCATGTCCTCCGACTTGGACTTGGAGTTGGGGGGTAACAGCACAAGCAGCAGCGGCGTGGAGATTCAATTTGAGCAGCAGCAGCAGCAGGAGGAGAAGAATCTGAGAGGGTGCGAGCTATACAAGGGGCGGTGGGTGTACGACGCGGCGGGGAGGGAGGCGCCGCTGTACAGGGAGTCGGAGTGCGGGTTCCTGACGGAGCAGGTGACGTGCATGCGCAACGGCCGGCGGGACGACTCGTACCAGCGGTGGCGGTGGCAGCCGGAGGGGTGCGACCTCCCAAGCTTCGACGCCAGGGCGCTGCTGGAGCGGCTGCGGAACAAGCGGATGATGTTCGTCGGTGACTCGCTCAACCGCAACCAGTGGGAGTCCATGGTATGCCTCGTCCAGTCAGCAATTCCCTATGGCCAAAAGACGCTCACCAAGTTCGTCAACAACGGATCGCTCAACGTCTTCCGAGCGCACGTAATTCCCTTCCTTGTTTCGATTCCTTAATTTTACGCCATGGGTGGATTAATGCCACTCACTCGCTCATGATTGCAAGTACTACATGATACTAAACAGGAGTACAACGCGACGGTGGAGTTCTACTGGGCGCCGTTCCTGGTACAGTCCAACTCGGACGACCCGCAGGTGCACAGCGTACGTGACAGGGTCATCGCGTGGCGCTCCATCGCAAAGCACGCCGCCAACTGGAAGGGCGTCCACTACCTCGTCTTCAATACCTACATCTGGTGGCTCAACAACTTCCAGATCAAAGTGCTGTAAGTTACTCCTGGACTACTACTACCAAGTACTAATATATATTCGCGCGCATTGCATTCAAAGTTAAGGGAATCGAATTGTGGTTGCAGGAAAAGCAGAGGTGCTCCGTTTGCGGGCAGCGGGGGGTGGAGCAGCCGGTACGCGCTGGTAGACCGAGCGATCGCCTACAGGGAGGTGCTAAAGACGTGGGCCAAGTGGGTGGACAGGCGTATCGACCCCAACAAAACCCATGTCTTCTTCATGGCCATGTCTCCCAACCACTTCATGTAAGTTTTTCTCTCTTCTCTGCTCTCACCACCACCTCTTTCCTTTCCTTTCTTTTCCGTTGCACCATCCGTCCTCGCCAATACCAATACCCAACATTAGTCTTAATTTCTTCTTGGTTGCTACCGTCACGGGGTAACGAACAACTCCCTTTCTTGTTGGGTAGTAATTTCTGACCCCCTAACCTGGAGCACTACTACTAGTACAAGTTTGATACGACTACTGCTTGCTTACTGCGCGAGAGCGAAAGCAACGGACCAAGTTTTAGGACAGCGACACACGCCCACATCAACACAACTTTTACCTACAAACAAACGTTTGTCAGCTCAGCTCGATCAGGGCTTTGCCTTCCCGATGAAGAGAATTGACTAGTCATACATACTGTTTCTTTATTCTGCCTCTTCCATGGGCGACGACACGTGCTTAGGTTGGTGATATAGTAATGCAGACCAAGAAGCTTCGGAATGAGGAAAATCTTAATCTACTCTGCATAATTTATTTACTTTAATAATTATTTGCCATTGAAATTAAGATTCTACTGCGGCACATGGCAACATGGGAAAAATTCATTCTCGTTTCCATGACCTGTTTTGCTGGAGTTCAAGGGAAAGAGGAAAAGGGCACTGCTGCAATCTAACATGGACCACTTCATGCCATTTGCAAACCATAGCTCGCTCCCTTACTGCAAAATATCAATTCATGATGTTTCTCTTTCGGATACGCAAGTGGAACAATCCAAATGTACCAAGAGCCTCATCACTGGATCGATCTGAGCTTTAGAGACGGACTGGTGAACCGAAGAATCTTTCTGCATGCGTAGAATTAATGTGAGCAAAATACTCTTGATTAGTAATAGTAGCAACTTTAGTACTATCACTAGTGATGTTGATGCGTGCATGCTTACGTCCCCATATGGTCCCAAACATTTCGCAATCACCTGTTTGTCGCTTTCCTCACTCATGAATCAACCAATGGAGCCACGTTCTAAACAGCTACTCAGCCTAGCTGTTTGTTAAGAGGAGAGTTAGTAGTATAACTAACCACTAAAGCTGGAACAAAGGTCGGTCGCACTCCTCGTCTTTTGCTCTGTTTCTTTCTTCCGAGTAAAGGTTTTACTACAGTTATGCATATGGTTTAATTACGTGTCTTCCCTCCGATCCTAGACAGCTAAACAAGCATTTGTTAGGAGATTCACCACTAGTAATAAACAAACCACACAAAGCTGCAACCCTGCTCGTAGCTTAGCTCGTGTCCTTTTTCCCCCTCTGTTTTTATTTTTCTTCTGAGTAAGGTTTTACTACGGTTATGATCATACATAACATACCCCTTTTCTCTTTCGGTTGGCATGGGCTGCTTTCAGCTTTGATGGGCACTTGTAGCAATAATTAAGGAGTCGACAATGCAAATTAAGCAGTAGAAAGGCATTATTAGCTCACCGCATCACATGAAAGCAAAAAGGCAAGCAAAGCCAACCAGGCGTGTTTTGCAGCTCCGGATCGAGCAACGGTGGCCGTAATCAGATTGTTTTAGGCTGGCAATATCAGCTCAAGGGCGGCTAAGGTTGGTTGTCGCATCTACAGATCAGTAGTATCATGTATAGCAGCACAGTGTTGCCTGACAGAATCTGACCATTATTTTGCTAAGATGCTCCACTCCAGTGCTACAGCACTGAGTCACTCACTAGTGGCTTTGGTGAAAGTGAGTTAAAGTAAAGTGGGTGACAGGCAGATCCATATGCGAGTGGGATTTGGCTAGTCGAGTCGTATCTACTGTGCAGTGGAGTGCTTACTGTTTGTTGGTCCATATGGTGGCCAGCTCTGAATTTGTGTGATCTAATAAGTGAAATATCGGATGTACAGGCCGGAGGCTTGGGGGGGATCGGCGGGGGCGGTGAAGTGCGCGATGGAGACGCAGCCGATCGTGAACCGGACATCAGGGGGGCTGGACATCGGGACGGACTGGAGGCTGCACGGGGTGGCGCGCGGTGTGCTGCGGTCGATGCGGCGGGTGGGCGTGCGATTCGTGGACATCACGGCGCTGTCGGAGCTTCGCAAGGACGCGCACACGTCGGTGCACACGCTGCGGCAGGGCAAGCTGCTGACCCCGGAGCAGCAGGCCGACCCTCGCACCTACGCCGACTGCATCCACTGGTGCCTCCCTGGCCTCCCCGACACCTGGAACCACTTCCTCTACGCCCACATCGTCGCCCATGCCGCCTAGCCCTTCCTTCCTTCCTGCAACTAATCTCATCTCATTTATTCTCCCTTGCTGCTATGCAATCTGTGAGTAGTTCTTTTTGTATAATCAGAAAAAAAAGGGAGGGATTAGAATCGGAAACAAACAAAGACGAAACACAAGAGTGTACATCAAACGGCCTCTTGTCGCCTTTGGTGTCTGCCATGCCGAAAGAACGAACGTGCCAAAGAGGACAAGGACACCCGTGTCCAAGTTTGTACTAACGACTAACGTGACCGTCATCACACTTCCTTCCCCTTGTGAAGTTGTGATTGCTCAGCCATCAGCTCTACATGCATAGTATGCCTCAGGCTATCAGCTGTCATTGAGATGGACCAGCATGTCGTCGTACAGTTCGACCAAAACAAAATAGGTAGTGTATCGAACGGCATCACATGTATAAATGTACGCGTGTACTAGTAATAGCTTACAGCACATGTGCAACCTCACTAGACCCTTGGCTAGTTGGGGTTTATCAATTTTCCATTGTTATTTTGGACTATATGACCCCCGATGCATGCGTATGTTTAAACTTCCAGTATTCCATGACTCAAATCTTTCTTATTTTATGGTACGGCCTCAGTCCTAACATAATTTCTTTTATCAAAATCCTACTACTAGGGAACGCAACACGCTACGGAGATTCATCGAAAAGTAGAATCATCCTAGATCCCTTTCTCCTCCCTTCCGCAAGCAAGTAGAAACCGCACGGTCTTGGTTGTACCTGGAAAGTTTATGGTAGGAAGATGGGGTGCCTTCCAGGACCATCATCAACAACCAAGTAACTTCAGGGTTTGCAAAATTCTTGCCAGGTCTTCACCTATCAATTTCTTCCGGTATATCAACATTCCTCAGATGTATTAGCTCCATTTCTTCTTTCCAAATCTGCGGGCCAGTAACAAACGCAATTACCAACAGAAACAAACGTGCTGACAAGTACGGGAAGAGATCAGACTCCAGGCAGAGAAGCTAGTACGAAGTACATACAGTGTGTCGGAATTCAATCCTGATGTGAGGAACATTTGTCTGGTGAATGTCATTGCCATCATGACCTCTTTTGTAGTAGTTTCTCCCAATCCAGTGTGACTATACAAGAGCAAAATGTCTTATCAAAACAAGGAGAAAAAAAATAGGCAGAGAGAAAAATATGAAAACAAAATCAAAATTGCTAAATGAACAATAGCAATCTATACCTTGAGCCTATGAGAGAAACCAGACTGGTACACAGAATTCCTAGCAATTTCACATAGGTCGCATGAACTTAGCTTCCACAGCTGCCAAGAATGACAGGCAATCCAAATTAAGCAGATCTAAGTGGAATCTAAACATATCCAAAGAGCTAGAGTGAAGGAGATAGTTACCGAAGCAGCGATGCTATATTCTTCAACCAAAGGTTCTTTTGTCAGGTGAATTTGCAAAGGGTCATCGGTTGATAGAGAAACGTTAAGGCCTCTTAGGAAAAATGTTGGGAAAGGGTTTCGGTGATAATCAATAAACAATGAGTTGTTGCTCAAAGGAGACATGGCAAGACCAATCTAATTATAGGCAAACAAAAGATGGTTAGTTTATTCAAAGATCCGAGAAAACAAAATTGATAGGTGTTCAATTGATAGCTGTTGCGCTAAAAAAATGATGAGGAATGAACACAAAATACTAGTTACCTGAGCTAGGTAATACAGATACTGGAGGACAGGGGACTTCTTTAAATTAACCCCGTGAGCAATATTATGAGAAGTAAGAAATGCTGCAGCAAGATGATCAATATCTCCAGCCTGAAGACAAGAATCATCAATGCAACTTTTCCGGGGTAAATCTATGAATACTCAAATATGTGCATTAGCATATACCTCCCCACAGTGTGGACGAAGTTTGATTGTTGTCATACCCTTGGACTCACGAAGCTACATCACAAAAATCTCAAGTCAACCAAGAGAGCCCCAATAGGGGATAGGACATCATAAATGTTGAGAGAGAAGCTAATCTGAAAACTAGAATTTGAAGGAGAAGAACAGGCAGAGATCTGGGGACAAATGAATGATACCTTGTTCAGCGTGTACAAGTTAGCATAACAATAGTACACATAATATGCATATGCTGGATTGAAAACATTAGTCCATTGCTCAGGTGTAGGCATGTGTTTTGTTGGGCGTCTCTCTGGTTTGCTTTCATCATCCACTAAATCCAGCCCAACGACCTGAAGAAAACAGCAGCAAAATTGATGGTGATGACTGCTCCGCTCCACAACATAACAAGGCATACACTAGGCATAGTAATGCATAAAGTTACTAATGGGAGGAGATTAGAGGTGCCCTTATGTTAGAGGAAAGTATCCTACTGAGCATTGCTTTAGGTGCTGCAGCAAGCCTTGTAACTTATCAATGTTATTCCCTCTATTTCCACTAGATAGGACAGCTAAAAGAGGTCAATCTTTGTAAGACTCACATACCACTGTTCAAATATCATATATTTTCTAATTAATACATTTTTTAACTCCATTCAATTGAGTACTATATTAGCACTGCAGTGCGCATCTGCGTAAATAGTTCCACTGACCTGTTGCAAGAAAACATGGAGCTGAGGATGTGAAGCAGGATCAACAGTTACTTCAAAAAGAGGCAGAAAAATATTGTCAAGGAGGTTCTGGAAAGAATTGATTGTTCCCATCTCCCTGTATACATTGTATATCCGAGGAATCTGCAGATAAAATTAAACAATGTTTCAGTAAATCTACTCTGGCAAAATAAAAATAAAATAGTTACCTGCACAGAGTATACTAGTTTGTTTGGTTTACAAAGTTTAAGAATTGATTACTGAATGTTTAGAAAAAAAACTCAGATAAAATTATGACTAGAAGCAGACGACGACATCAACAGAGAGTGTCATAACCTGAATTAACCAAACAACATTCTCGCTGTACAATTCATTATTCACTATCCAGCTTGCCATCTGATCCCACTCACTTTTCTTTCTCCCATAGATAGATATTCTATACTCAGCCATCTGGTGAAGATTATGAGAGTAGGAATAATTAGACAGAGCAATATGTAAACAATGTGTTACATGACAAATAGCGAACAACACCACCTTAAAGAATCACAAATATGAGATTGGTAAAGAAAGAAAGAAGTACCTGATATTTACTTGCTTCAAGATCAGAAAATACTTCTTTTGTCAATTCAGCAAGAAATCGGCCTATTAAGAAGACAATACAACATTTTAAAGAATTGTACATATACAGGGTATGCTGAGAATAAGGTCAACATAGAACATGAGTAACAGTTCTCGACAACTGAAAGAAAATATAACAAAACGAGAATGGCATCGATTACTGAAATACGTAGGAAACAAGACAAAACAAAAGGTGCACCTTGAATAAGGTTGTCCTGTTTAAGAAAGATCTCCCTCAGCCGGGATTGGCCACAAGGATTATACTTCAAATTGAACTTGTCAAAGCGATGGAATGTACTTTTATCGGCATGCACATCTAAGAGATCAACATTGAGGTCATAACTGGCAGAGTGGCAAAAGCAGGTTAGTTAAAAAATATCTTAATCAAAAGATACATGACAGAACCATCACATAAAGAATTTCAGTTACCCAGTCAAGTCCAAACTCTCAAAAACCTCCTTAAGAGTCAAATAGGTACCATCTCTAAAAATCACAACCTGCACAAATGCAATTTTTGAAATTTTTAAGTAGAGAGCAGACAAAGAACCTTCATATTCCACATGAGAAAAAAAACCACAGGGATTGATGAAAAGAAAATAGGTGCACCTCGTCAGGTTCTTTCCTCAACTTGGACTTGATAAATCTCAACAGATGCTTCTGATTCATGCATGCAGAGTGATGAACATGAGTATCAACCTTCCTGACATTGTAGAAGTCCCGATGGGGTGCAGCTTTCTGAGCAAGTAGTTCTCTATCGGCATTGACCATCAAATGAAGATTGAATTTCTGAAAAATCCACAAGAGTGAAAACGATAGTAAATGTACATAATTGAAAAGAAACCTAGCCATGGCCCATTCCGATGTGTTCAGTGAGATTTATGAATCAAGTTAACTTGACAGTCCAGTCTGGAGCACATTCAATATATGCCAGCAAACACTACTAGCCTACAAATGTTAGATGCACAAAAAAATCTTGGCCACATCAGGGATTCTTTTGTATGCTATATGCTTGAGATTATATATTAACATTGCATGTAGCCTGGAGTACTGTACCACCTTTTGCTGCCATTGCAAGATTTCACATATCTTGTTGCTAGGCTCAAACACATACAGCAAATACAAGCATTGAAAGAACCACTTTAAAAGAATTACCTGTTCTAGAAGATTTAAACGTTTATAACATACAGTTCGAATATCCCCAGCAGCCAACACACGAAGGATATAGTGCATATCAGTAAAAAAGGTAGTAGCATCAGCAACAGGATAGATTCTTTCTTTAGCTGCAGCAACAGAGGAAGACAAAAATAAGTGACGACGAACATGAAAAGAAAAAACTTCGACAAAATATGAGTAGTCGTAAACTAAAAGAGAAAGAATAATTTGTTACTCACCGTCTTTATTGGGGTATACATGAATAACACCATCAACCATTTCAAAATGATGCTGAAGGAAGGAAAACAAAATTAGAGTACAGAAAGCAGAGCAGGAAAACGTGTTGTATCGTTAATATGCAGAAAATATAGGGAAACACACTCACTTCAGTTTTAGTCTGCTGCTCGTAATAGAAAGGGTTAGGATTAGGTTTTGGAGTACTAGGATCAGTTATGATTTCCTTCTCCCATGGAGCAACTTCTTCTCTAAACATGTACTTCTCTCGTAGCTCAAGACATTTCTGAAGAACCTTGTATGCTTCAATTTCATCAGGAGATGGAGTCTCTGCAACCAAAAAAAAACAGGTGCAAGTGTTGCAACACGTAAGTGAATAATAATAGTAATAGCAGGTTTCATTTTCAGCAACATAAATCATCGCTATCACGTAGATAATCCATAAAATAAAATGCATTCTAATTTCTAACTGATACCAAAAGGGACAATTCTAATGGTGTGAACATTTTTTTTTTCTGAGAACACCATGTTCAGGGTCATGGCTAGAGTTTGAGTAGTAAAAACAATATTAATTGGACTTAAAATAGAATTGATTTAATATAAGGCACGGGAAAAGTGGACCATACCAACAGCTG